ATGTTCTGGGACGGGGCAGGTAGAGGGTTGTTCTATTTGTTTTTTAAACACCCTTGAACATTTCTAATGACTGATGAACTTTCAGAGAGGCTGTAATATCAAAAACACTTAAAGAATTCCTCTATTTTGGGGCGCCTGGGTGGCTCAGTGGGTTAAATCCTCTGCCTTCGGCTCGGGTTGTGGTCTCAGGGTCCTGGGATCGAGCCCCACGTCGGGCTCTCTGCTCAGCGGGGAGCCTGCTTCCTCCTCTCTCTCTGCCTGCCTCTCTGCCAACTTGTGATCTCTGTCTGTCAAATAAATAAATAAAATCTTTAAAAAAAAAAAAAAAGAATTCTTCTATTTATGCATTTGTGTGCTTTGCAGGTGTTTATTTTTGGTCCTGACAAGAAACTGAAGCTGTCCATCCTCTACCCAGCAACAACCGGCAGGAACTTTGATGAGATTCTCAGAGTAATTACCTCTCTCCAGCTAACGGCGGAAAAGAGGGTTGCCACCCCGGTTGATTGGAAGGTAAAGATGTTAAAAGGGCAGGTGCTCATGCTGTCTGTAAGGTCCTACGGGCTGATCTCTCAGTGGCTGTCTTCAGGGTCATTGTTACCTGGGGATCTTTTTCTGACATGCACACACACTGGCTGGAGTTCTCAGGGCTGAGTTTCCAATTTGCCATGAGGCCATTCTCAAAATCTTTGACACTTTATATAAAGTGCACACTCCCTATGTTGGCTTCCTAACTTCTAGATCATTTGATCAAGTTAATTGGTCAGAATGATGCCTTTTAAAATAAGAGAATTTTTTAAAAACCTTTAACTCTTCCCCAAATTAGCAAAATGATGGCAGAATATTTATAGCTAGACTTAGATTGGCCACTTCAGACATGGCTCTAAAACACTGTGGTATATTAATGTCACGGAGCATTTCATTTCTCTTAAGCTTCATTCTGTCTTTTAAACTCATGTAGAATTCTTGGTATCTTGTTCATAAATTTTTAATTTCTAGGATTTCTGCAAAAGGTAAGACAGGGATATCCCAAGGGTAATTTCATGTAGCTACATTTTTTTTTTAAATACGCTAACCTGAATACCAGGTTGTGTTTTGTTATTCCTGACAGGCAAATCACTTAAACTCTGTATATCCATCCACCGAACATGTGTTTACTGAGCCGGGGCAGTGGGCACTGGGATACAGCAGCAAACAGTATAAATCGAAATGTAAATAGAAGTCCCTCCCCTCCTAGAGCTCACACTCCAGTGGGTGGAGACAAACAGTAAGCAAGTCTCCTGTGTGTTAGGTGACAATGAGTGTGGCGAGAATGGGAATTCAGGAGTGGGAAGGTTGGTTTTATAACTGGCTGTCAAGGAAGGCCTTCCTCCGAAGGGACCTTTGGGAAAGACACAAAACAAGGGACCAAGTCACACGTATTTATGAGAGAAGAGCACTGCTGGCAGCAGGAACAGCTGGAAAGCAAGCTTGGTGGGTTCGAGAAACAGAAGAAAAGCCAGCGTGCCTGGGAGAGGAGGAGCAGGAAGTGGGGTGAGGAGCCGGGGATGAGAACAGAGGCAGGAATCATTGACACAGGGCAGCAATGAGGACTTAGAATTAATATTTTTTAAAGTGTGATGCCAGGCCATCGCTGGGTTTAAAGTAAGACTCCTACTTGTTAACATAGGGAAATAGTTCCCTCACAAAAATGTCACCCTGTGCAAACAAAATTCCTCAGAGGGGAGAGAGTAACCAATACCGAGTTCTTCCCAGGAGCACCTGTAGCTACTTTCTAAAGTCAACTCTTGCCTTTAAGGTTCCCTCTAAGATCGGATTTCACCATTTCTCAATGTCTTTGAACAGGACGGAGACAGCGTGATGGTTCTTCCAACCATCCCTGAAGATGAAGCCAAAAAAATCTTCCCTAAAGGAGTCTTCACCAAAGAGCTCCCCTCGGGCAAGAAGTACCTCCGCTACACGCCCCAGCCGTAGTCTCCAGCCGAGGTCTCTGGGGAGCTGGTGCTGGAGCTGTTGGCTTAGCTTAGTGAGCCAGATGATGCCGGCTGCCAATCGTGTTCTCCTACAACTCTTCATAAAAACATCCTGGTGTGATCACAGCCAAGGTCTTTAGGTTGCTCTACTACTGGCTTATTAAATGAAAATGGCACTAAAAATTTCTCGGGATCCTTTACTCTGTGCCTTCACCAGCATTCACCTCCGTTTGTGTACCTTAGCGTGCTCCTCCGCTGACTCTCTTTGAAACACGTTCTGTAGGAGAGGCTCGGATCTCTACGGGATTTGGGATCAGTGAGGTAGTGTTGAGAAAGCCTGCTTTGCTCCATCATAGAATGACTCTCTGTTTTTCAGCTCTTCTGATCAAACCCAGAACTTGAGGTTTGGAGTCCTCTGTGATGAGCGTGCATACAACCCCTTAACTGAGCGTACCCAGATGTATCTTCACTGTTGAGTGTTTGGATCACAGCAGGGGCAGAGAACCTTTCATTTCTCTACTTTTTCAGGAGATAACAAGTGGGATAAACAGGGGAAGGATCTTTTAAGTATTTTGCTATAAAGAAAACGTTTCAGTAAATTTCTGTCAAAAGAGAAAGGCGGCTTGCCTGCGGGGGAGGTGTAATCTGGTGCCCTGTGCCTTTCATACAGAGTATTTCCGTCTGTCAGTCTGCGCTTCGCTGATGGATGCCAGCAAGGGCACACCTCGGGAAGAGAGGAGAAGATGATGGCAAATGTTTTATTCTAGAACACTTCTTGCAGTGAGGCGGGTGGGGCTGTTTTCTGACTCTTGCCTTTTGGGAATCAGCAAATAAATTCTTTATTAAAACTGGAGCAGAGGATTCTGTCGTCACGTCTTGAAGCACTAGTTTAGACTCTGTCCTGCAGGGCGGAGGTCTGCTTGCCTGAGTTGGCATTGGTACTTTTTCTCCAAAGGCAGATCCATAAAATGTCATACAATGAAAGTCCAGGAGCAACGGACAAACAAGGATTTCACAACTCTTGGACCACTTTGCTCCTTCCTCTTGGTTCCCTTGGGTCCTTGAGTTTGTGACTCCCGCTGTGAAGAGCTCTTAATTGGATTACTAGGCTTAATCTTGAGAATAGGACGACTGTGCTCTTCTCGAAAGGATACTAACTACGAACTAACTACCCTGAGCTCATGGTCTCTCAGACTTTCATTAGACCGTGCTAAATAGGTCGTGGGTTTGGAGGTCATCTCTTGCCTGTAGCCCTTTATATTTTTATTGAGTTTGATAATATAAAAGGTGATGCCTGGTGCCAGGTGTTAGATGGGTCATTCCGTCTTTAGTTTCCTTGAATTCTCCACGTGTAAAATTCTAGTGATACCAGGAAGGTTAAGAATGGAGTGAAAATTCCCAAGTTACCCAATATCCTGAAGAATGCCATCTAAAAGACCAGAAGACTGGTTTTCCTGCTTTTGCCTCTTCAAGTAATAGTATGTTTTGCCAGTTAAAATTCATCTTAGGGTGATATAGGTGTGGGCACCTGACAGTGCTGGCCCAGGATGAGGTCCATTCCTGACAATAAGGCAAAAACCTCATACAGAGAACTCCTTGCCCTCATTTTGCCAACCTGAGGCTCAAAGTCCCAGACCCAGCCTTGAGGGAAGAGGCTACAGCCTAGCTTCACGGTAACCTCCTCAAGCAGCTGCACCCGTGTGCCCTCCCCTGCCCCCATTTCCAGACATGTTACCATAATAATAGAATAAGGCACATGGATGAAGGGTATGGCATAGGGGAATATTGTCAGTACTACTATAATAGCATCATGGAATGACCGATGGCTACACTTGGGGTGAGCACAGCATAACGGTTAGAGAAGCCGAATCAGTAGGTCGTACACCTGAAACTAATGTAGCATGGTGTGTCAACATGGTTATATAATGAGAAAAAGGAAGACGAAGCCTTTGTGGTTCAGTCATGGTGGCCTGGTTCCTACATGTGCAGCCACATCCCGAATTTGCTGACGCTGGTCGTCTGCTCTGAAATACTGCCCTAGTATGCGAGGTACCCAGAGGCTCTGAAAGGACTGACTGTTTCTCCCACCTTTTCTTCTATTCTTACCTCTATCCTGGTTTTCCCTAAAGTTGAGAACCAAATATCCTTTCAAAATCTTGTTAAAATGAAAAGGGATAACGGGTTCCAAATAATAAACAACCAGGCCATAAAACTGAACTTTATTTGACGTTTAAAAAGAAATTGAAAAGTGATACTAAACAGTATTATGCAACGTAAAATTGTTAATTTCTCCTGAACTTTGCTTTCACTAAGATGGTGGAATATAGTTCCGTTTTTCAACATTTACTAAGTCAGGGAGGGAGGGAATAACTTCTCTGGAAAATGTTAGGGAGGCAATGACAGCAAATCAAATTATAGGTCCTATGCTTCAGTCTAATACCAATACTCCTAAGAACTTTTATTACTCTCGGAAATTGCTACAGCTCTTTGGTTTCGTTTGGTATGCCTTGAATTGCATTATGATCCTGACAAATTTTTGAACATCTCAGGTACGATGCAACTGCTTCAAATCAGAGCTTTTACAGCAGCCCATCAGTTCTGAAATAAATACAGCAGTTCACTGTTCCAGCAACTTCTAACTAACCTTGCCAGGTAATCCTTCGGCACTTGGGCCAGGAGGTTAGCTCAGTCTTCACCCTAACTCTGCATAACACATTAGCAGCGTTAGTATTCTTTCCTAAAATGGGATCCACTTTCCAACGACACAAGAAACTCAAAAGCAAAATATTAAGACAGTGTTTCAGGAGAAACGTTTTTAAGTATTAACTGCCATCAGAAAACTTAGAAGTTTCTATTTTGTCATCTGGAACATTCCCTCTAAAAAATATTCTATATTAAGGGCTTTGAGAGAGACATTTGCATCTCTAGACCATCAGACACCCTCTTATGAAGAGATACTGTGTTAACTCAGCAAGAGTAGTCCAACAAAGGTGCGCCTCGGGAAAAATGTCAGGTGAGTTGAATTCCCGGTTAACTTTGTGACCGATTCCAGGATAACTGGAAACCTCTTTCCTGAAGAAAATGAGAATTTTTGTTAAATAACAGGGCCCGGAAAAAACGGAGACAATGAGGAGTCAGTTAAGTCAATTACTTGACTCCCAATTAGGTTCACATTTGTGAAAAAGTGTCCTTTTTAAGAAAGGAGAGGTGGACCCTAAGAAGGCTGCCTAAAAAGAACTAAGTTACTTTCTTAGGAACCATCATCAATCATACATTTGGTCAATGCAACTTTCCTTCCCCCCAACAAACACTACATCACCCTATCACAGATGACTGTGCAGGCCCACAATTCTATTAAAAGGGTCTTAGGGTGACTGGTTGGGTCTGCAATAGGTCACGGGACTTCTGAAACTGCGCATAGATGGCACATCATTTTCCCTTGGAAAGCATATTTATTTGGGGTGACTTCACAACTGGGAAAGAGAGGGTGCTGAAGGGCCCACCTGTGCATTTGCCTAGCGCCCTAATGCCCTGTCAGCACCGTCTTCACTCAGCCGCGTAGGCTTGGGCCCAAAGGAGCTGTGTTCGTGGCCCTGACAGAAACCCCTCTAGTAACGAGCCTCGCAGGTCCCCCACTCCCCAGACTTCCCTCCACTCTGTCCTGGCCCCATGTGACCAGCCCTCCCCTCTCTGACTCCATATGCTTTCCAGCGCTTCTCAAGCTTTTCCAAATTGACCCCGGTCGCCGAGGAAAGCAGGCAAAGATGTCAGGGCAAAACGTCCGTGACTCTCCTAACAAAATGGTTTGAAGTCTCCTGCTCTATCTTAAAAATTCATGCAAATTTGTCACCCTACTCCATAATATGCTTGTTTTAATATAAAACATTTCAGGTAACCTAATGGTTAAATGAGTTTCCTCCCTTTAAAAGAGCATCAAGTAAAAGTGATCTTCTAGGAAGATTTCTGGAATCCGCCTGTGGTTCCAAATGCCCTGCCCCCTCGCCAAAGGGAGAGGCACAGGCATTCAGACACTAATGTCTAATCTTGCTCGTGGCCTGACCCTCCCCATCCTTAACGTGTCTGTAGGGGTGCCTGGGTGGCTCAGTCGGTTAAGTGTGGGCCTTTGGCCCAGGTCATGATCCCCGGGGTCCTGCGGTCGAGCCCCATGTTGATCTTCCTGCTTGCTTCTCCCTCTCCTCCCTGCATGTGCTCTTTCTCGCTACCTCTGTCACTGTCTGTCTCTCTTGGTCTCAAATAAATAAATAAAATCTAAAAAAAAAAAAAAGTGTCCTACAGATTCCCACGATGGGGCCATCGTGGGAAGGAGGTCAAGAGGGAGGAAATTGGGACGGGGAACCTGTGGCAAAAATCACATCGTTCAAAAAAATTCCATCATTTTAATTGTTAAATAATTCAGATGTGCTTTATCTCAATTTTTTTGGTCAGTGAGCTGCCACTAAGGGTCTCTCTTCTCACCCCCGTACCACCCATATTTTGCTACTTGGCTTCACAGCTCCTTCCAGCTAGGTAGTTTACTATTCACGGTAAAAAAAAAATCTAATCCAAGTGTTAAGTTTATTACCTCGTTTTTTCTCTTCCAATTATATTCTCTGTGGGTCATTCGAAGACCAGTGTTGACTGAACCCGTCCGAATACATGCATCAGACAGAAAAACTAAGTTAGGGGTTTAAGAGTAAAGGTAGCAGAAGACTATTCTGAAATACCAATTTGCTTTCTCCCAGTAGGTCTCCTATTTCCCTTCTCCCCTCTCATCTGGGCTCTAGCATCTTTCCTCAGGGAGGTTTGCTATTAGGCTCCCAAGAGCCCCAGTCACGGGGTGGCAAACTCAAATGAGAACAGGCAGGTCACACAGACAAGGCAGCGGGCTGTATCTCAGACAAGAGGGCAGGGTGTGGACTGTGGCCAACTGCACAGCATGTTTTCCCCCTATGCTCAGCTCCATGTGTTGGCACATATAGGAACAAGCACCCAGTGTTGGCACGCTTTGAGTTTTTCAAGAAAAGCTCAAAATCTGGATTTTTTTTCTTACATGTGGAATGTTTAAATGCTCCTACTTTGCAGCTTACTTTAAAATTTGCAGACAAAGCATGTGGGCGGATCATACACACCCAGTGCACTGGCTGGATCCAGTCCTTGAGCCTATACCGTGTGTGACTTTTGCCCCAAATGCACTGGCGAATACAGAGTGATAGAGGACCATCCATCTAAAACTGGTAGATTGCAGGGAGCCTGAAGAAGGAGAGAGGCCTACAGGCCCAGGACCAGAGGGGGCCTGTGTCCTGCTTCCTGGCAGTGCTAAGATCTCTGACTCAGCAGCCCGCAGGGTGCCCCAATGAGGTTGACACTAAGCCCCGAGCTCCAAGCCCTGCCATAGACCCTGCTGCCCCAAGAGAGCTGTGGAAGGTGCAGAGTGGCTGGAGTCAGGATTCTTTCAGTGTTCACCAGCTTGAAGAGAAGCTCCCCCAAATCAGATGCTGCGCATGACCCCAGAACAGAGGCTAGAGAGTAAGCTGCAGCACGTCTGAGGTTGAATTTGCTTTTCTCGAGGAGAAGTGGAATTACTTATTGAATGTCTTTCCTCCTCACAAGGGCAGAGACATAGTTTGGCCTGCTCCCCATCTAGCACTGGGCATGGAGCCCAGCACACAGTGCAGCTGCATTTTATAAGAATTGTGCAAATGAGGGCACCTGGGTGGCTCAGTGGGTTAAGCCGCTGCCTTTGGCTCAGATCATGATCTCGGGGTCCTGGGATCGAGCCCCACATCAGGCTCTCTGCTCAGCAGGGAGCCTGCTTCCTCCTCTCTCTCTGCCTGCCTCTCTGCCTACTGATAATCTCTGTCTGTCAAATAAATAAATAAAATCTTAAAAAAAATTTTTTTAAATCATGTAAACCCAACCCTCCCACCCCTAGAATTAACAATTTACGGAGAATTGCATGACATCTAAGTTGGCCGATCACATGAATTGGAAATGCCAGGATGGTGCCCATTGGAGAAGCATGCTAAGGCTGACTGTTTTTGAGCTAGGGCACTTGGGGAGATGACAAGACGGCTTGGTAGAGCAGGGGTACTGAGCATGAAATGAAAGAAGGGAATGCGTGTTCTCTAGAGCAAGTCCTTCCTACCTCATCCTCTCGGTGCACTGCTTGGCACGGTGAGATGTGTCGTGGGGCACTAAGACACATTTAGAGACAGTCATTACTGAGTAAGTATCAAAGTGCCCCTCGAGCAAGACAATATTCAAAGAGCACAGGTGGGGTTCCATATTCCCTTTGGTTGTTGGGATCACACCAGCTCTCCACACCAGGGCCCACTGTGAGAGGGTCTCTGCCCTCCCCGCTCTTGCTCTGCACTTTGTGATTCCAGCCTGCCAGGACCAGGAAGGGTACAACAGAGACGCTCCTCTCTACCAGCACAAGTGTGAAGGAAGGGATGTGAGAGAGAAAGGAGCCACCTGGATTTCAGGGTCTGGAAGACGCTGGTAGATGGCCTCCCAGAAGCAATATGGCAGCCAGGGTGGGCCCAAGCACGGGGACTGACAACAAACCCACAAAGTACCCTCAAGTCATTTTCTTAGCATTAAGGGAATGTTGCATGGTTTTCCCATCACTAACGGGCTGCCCCTTACCCATGACTTTGGAGTCGGTATTTTTGGCAGGATCGAACGCTTGCACAACCAGCAGCTTACTTAAATCGGAAGTTCCCTGAACCTAAGAGGGAAAATTTGAAATCAGTCAGAAGAGTACCCTTTGATGGTGACGCTGCCTCATTCCTAATGTTTTCAAACAATGTAGGAAATAAGATGAAACCCAGAACTGGGCTTCCAGCCTAAGATCTGTGTCTTTCTCATTTCAATCCCCTTGAATGTTGTTTCAAGAAGTCTTGGACTAGAAAATTACCTTTTGCATCTGTACAGACTTCAGAAAGGAACCTTCTCCACCTTACTTGTAACCAGACCAGACATTCCCAATTTGGAAAACAGGGAGTCCCCAAAACCCACAAGTTTACTTGTACCCCTACACTGATGTTCAAGGGCTCTGGGCCCAGCCTTCCCAGGCGGGAGGACTGTCTTCTTTTTTAGAACTTTTGCCCTGTGTCTCTCACTGACATCTGCCTCCAGGAAGGCACATGGGGTACAGGTAACAATTATTAACTCTCATCTCTAGAGACCGGATACTGTCTCCCCGGATCCTCACAAGAACCTTACCAGACGATTGCTGTTGTTGGCCTCATCGCACTAATGGGCAACAGAGGGTCAGAAGGCAGCTAGCCTTTGCTCACACACCAGTGGGCACAGGGGTTAGGCTTTTAACCCAAGTAGGCCTGACCCCAAGCCCTGTCTCTTAAACCAAACTGTGAGCATTGCTCCTGCCGTTCCCGGCCTCGCCCCCACCCCTTGCTTCAAAGCTAAAGAGATTTTTCATTTTCTACTAGAAAAGCATTTAGATTTACCATCATCCTCTGAATTACTGAGAGATACAAAGATAGGAAGGCCACAAAAGGGACAAAGGCACCCCTGTTCCCCAGGAGGCACGGCCCCACTCCAAGGCAAAAGGCTTGGCAAGCAGAGGGCAGGTGGATTCTAGGCCCCTGAGCCCCCTGCGTCTCACTGCTGTGTCGAGCACACACTGCTTAATGGTACCGAAGCCCTGGGCATGTGTTGACTGTTTCGTTAAAGGTGCTGGGAACTGCGGGGTCCTTCCTGGTTACATTTCTTTTTAAGGTGGTCAGTTGAGTTTTCAAGTCACTTATGGGGCACCATGGAAAGCAAATGACTTTAGAAATAACTGTCCTTACCTGCTCACAGGTTTTAGGCAAAATGCAAGGTGCAAGATATGGTACCTCTGTCTTAGTATCAATGACACTGCCGTACACAATAATGACGAATTTCATGGTCACATTATCAATAGTCATTTCATTATAGCTGGATAAAGTCTCCACGTATGCCAGATTGAAAGCCACACACTTCTGAAAGTCCAAGTCCTACAATAAAATGACATTTTTTTTTCTATAAATCATGCAAATGACCCATGGAATCAAGAAGGCACATTCACTGATTGAGCTGAGTTCTTTGCGGGTGTCAAAAGGCATTTAGACTCTAGGACCAACAGACAGAATATATTTAGAATTCAGAATGATCTCAGACAAGATTATGAACTCAAGAGGTTTTTGGTTGCTTCTCCTAGTGGCCCTGGTTATGGATGCGCAGCCTGATTTCCAGGTTTGCCAGAGCTCTCAGTCGGCGTCAGCAGGTGGTTAGCCATGCCTTGTGGATTTGGTTTTACCTGGCAGTAAGCAAACACCCCCTGGGCAAGTGAGCAAACAATAGCAAAAAGCCAAAACGAAACAAAGCAACACACTTTGAGTCATACTTCAAAGCTCAAAATAACAGTCTTCAGAGGAGGAAGGAAGCGGTTATGTATGGGTTGAATTGTGCCCCACCCCCCAAAAAATTCGTATGTTGATGTTCTGAGCCCGGGTACATTAGAATGTGACTTTATTTGGAAATAGGGTCATTGCAGACAAAATTGTTGAAGTTAAGATGAGGTCATACCAAAGTAGGGTAGGCAAATATTCTAATATGACTTTAGTCCTTATAAAAAGGGGAAGAGGTGCCTGGGTGGCTCAGTTGGTTAAGCGTCTGACTCTTGATTTCAGCTCAGGTCATGATTTTTGGGTCAGGAGATTGAGCCCCGTGTGGGGCTCCACGTTCAGTGGGCTGTTGGCTTCCCCTCTGTGCCCCTCCTCTGCTTGTGCTCTAGTGTGCTCTCTCTCAAATAAATAAATAGGGGAGATTTGGGGGCACCTGTCTGGGACAGTCGGTAGAGCACAGGACTCTTGATCTCAGGGTCATGAGTTCAAGTTCCACACCGGGCACAGAGCTTCTTTAAAAATGGGGAAGTGGGGCGCCTGATTGGCTCAGTGGGTTAAGCTTCTGCCTTCAGCTCAGGTCATGATCTCAGGGTCCTGGGATCGAGCCCTGCATCGGGCTCTCTGCTCAAGAGGGAACCTGCTTCTCCGTCTCTCTCTCTCTCTGCCTGCCTCTCTGCCTACTTGTGATCTCTATCTGTCAAATAAATAAATAAAATCCTTAAAAAATAAAAACAAAAACGGGGAAGTGAGGGTTGCATGGGTAGCTCAATCAGTTTAGCATCGGCCTTCAGCTCAGGTCATGATCCCAGAGTCCTGAGAGCGAGTCCTGCATCAGACTCCTTGCTCAGCAGGGAGCCTGCTTCTCCCTCAGTCTGCTGCTCCCCTGCTTGTGTTCTCTCTCTCACTCTTTCTCCCTGACAAATAAGTCAATAAAATCTTTCAAAAAAAGGTGGGGGAGAGATTTGGACACAGACACACATACAGGGAGAACTCTGTGTGAGATGAAAACGGTCATCTGCAAGTCGAGGAAGCAGCCTGGACCAGATTCCCTCCTTCATTGCTCTTAGTGGGAACCAACCCTGCTGACCACTTGATTTCTTGCCTCAAGAATTATGAGACAATACATTTTTTTAAAGATTTTATTTATTTATTTGACAGACAGAGATCACAAGTAGGCAGAGAGGCAAGCAGAGAGAGAGGGAGAAGCAGACTCCCCACTGAGCAGAGAGCCTGATGCGGGGCTCTATCCCAGGACCGTGAGATCATGACCTGAGCTGAAGGCAAAGGCTTAACCCACTGAGCCACCCAGGCACCCTGAGACAATACATTTCTGTGGTTTAAGCCACAACTAAGGTTGTGGTACTCTGTTCCAGCAGCTCCAGCAAAGAGTACAGGCACTTAGAGGTCAGTCCTGTGGTAGGAATCTCCTGGATAGTGCCCTCACTCTGAACATCTCCATGCACAGCTATAGGACACAGCCCTCGGGACCTGGGTCCTTAATGGGCAAAGTGAACACAACTGCTGAGAACACCAGCTCAGCTTGCATGAAAAACACAAGATAACTAAAAAACCTAAAATTTTGGAAGGAGAAAAATCTAAAAAGAAAGCTATTTTGGTTTTTAAATGCATGTAAATTTTGAGTTATGTGGTTTAGAGGAAGGGTTGCAGTATAAGCTAACCAGTGGTTCTAATCCCCTTTTTTTAGGGGTTCTAAAAAGTCTTAATTGGCTACTTCTTTGATGGGAAAGACTAGAAGGAAATAAGCCAAAGTGTTAAGAAGAGATTCTCCATCTGCCTTCAGCTCAGGTCATGATCTCAGGGTCCTGGGATTGAGTCCCAGGGTCAGGCTCCCTGCTCAGTGGGGAGTCTGCTTCTCTCGCCCTCTACCCCTCCCCCCACCGGTGTGCATGTGCACTTTCTCTCCTCTCTTGAAGAAATAAAATTTTTTTATTTTTTTTAAGATTTTATTTATTTACTTGACAGAGAGAGAGATCACAGGTAGGCAGAGAGGCAGGCCGAGTGAGGCGGGAAAGCAGGCTTCCCGCTGAGCAGAGAGCCCGATGCGGGGCTCGATCCCAGGACCCTGAGATCATGACCCCAGCCGAAGGCTTAACCCACTGAGCCACCCAGGCGCCCCTGAAATCTTTTTAAAAAATGAAAGGGCATTCACCTTATTACTGAGTCAAATCTGACTCCATACAGTTTTGACCTGTTGATCCTAATCCTCTCCCCTGGAGTTTCTTACTACACTCATACTCGACATACTAAATGTGTCCTACTTCTCACGAAGAGGCAAAGTAAAAAGAAGAATCTAAATCCTTTTACCGTTCTGCTAAAATTTTTCTGAAATTACCGCCACGTGGTGAAAGAAACACGACTTCCTTAGTACAACATGCATTTTTTAAGACAATATTTTTAGAGTGGTTTTAGGTTCACAGCAAAAGTGAGAGGAAGGTACAGAGGTTTCCTGTAGATTCCATCCTCCACACGTGCAGAGCCTCTCCCATTACCAGCACAGTGCTCTACTTACCGCAGGTGATGAGCCTATAGTGACGCATCACAATCACCCAAAGCCCATAGTTTATTTAGGGTTTACTCTTGGTGTTGTCAATTTTATGCGTAGATGTGTAATGACATGTATCCATTATTACAGGATGACACAGAGCGGTTTCACCATCCGAAAGTCCTCTGTGCTCCCTCTCTTCATTCCTTCTGCCCCAACCACTGATCTTTTTATTGTGTCCATAGTTTTGCCTTTTCCAAATGCCCTAGTGTTGGAATCCTATAGTATGGAGCCTTTTCAGATTCGCTTCTTTCATTTCAGAATATCCAGGTAAGTTTTTTTTTCATGTCTTTTCATGGCTTGATAGTACCTTTCTTTTTAGCCCTGCATCGTATTCCTTTGTCTGGATGGGCCCACAGTTTATTTATCCATTCCTCTACTAGAAGACATCTTTGTTGGTAGTTTCCAAGTTTTGTCAATTCTGAATAAAACCGCTAAAATATCTGTGCCCAGATTTTGGCATGAACATAAGTTTTCAACTTTTTTTTTTTTAAGATTGTATTTATTTGGGGCACTTGGGTGGCTCAGTGGGTTAAGCCTCTGCCTTCGGCTCAGGTCATGATCTCAGAGTCATGGGATCGAGCCCCACGTCGGGCTCCCTGCTCAGCGGGGAGCCTGCTTCCCCCTCTCTCTCTGCCTGCCTCTCTGCCTACTTGTGATCTTGATCTCTCTCTCTGTCAAATAAATAAATAAAATTTAAAAAAAAAGATTGTATTTATTTATTTGAGAGAGAGGGAAACAGCACAAGCAGGGAGGGGGAGGGGATGAAGGAGACGCAGACTCCCTGTTGCATAGACAGCCCGATCAGGGGTCAATCCCAGGACCCTGAGATCATGACCTGAATGGAAGGCAGATGCTTAACCACTTAACCGACTGAGCCACCCGGGCACCCCAAGTTTTCAGCATCCTCGGATACATCTCAAGGGTACGGATTACTGGATTATATATGGTAAGAGTATGTTCAGTTTTCTAAGAAACCTCCAAACTTCCTGAAGTGGCTGCACCATTTTGCATTCCTACTAGCAATGAATGAGAATTCTGGCTGCTTCACATCCTCACCAGCATTTGGGGTTGTCAGTGTTCCGAATGTTGGCTGTTTCAACAGGTGCATAATGGGATCACACGTTACATTTTTCTGAGGATATGTGACTGTTGAACATGTTTATTTGCCATCTAAGTATCTCTTTTTTTTTTTAAGATTTTATTTATTTATTTGACAGAGATCACAAGTAGGCAGAGAGGCAGGCAAAGAGAGGGGAGGAAGCAGGCTCCCTGCTGAGCAGATAGCCCAACTCGGGGCTCTATCCCAGCACCCTGAGATGACCTGAGCCAAAGGCAGCTGCTTAACAACTGAGCCACTTGGGTGCCCCTAGGGCTTTGACATTTTTAAAAGAAGCCCCCTGGATGTTTCCAATGTGTATCCAATAATGAGGACCACATCTCTAAATTCTGTCGATAGAAAATACAAGAGGAATAGCAGGATTCCAGAGGATATAAAGTCCCTTTTCACTAATATGCAGAAACATAATGACTTTTGCTTTCAAGCTCAAAACCCCAGGATTATGAGGCATTTATAAGATTATGAGATTTGTGTAGGCCCAGGTAGATGGCAACTGTTTCCTCTTTGGGCTGGATGCATTTTGGCTGTTTCCATGACCTGAGTGAGGACTGACTGGGAACGTGTTTATTATAGTCTACTCTACCTGTATTGATATAAAGCTTGTGCCTTTTCAAAATTTTTATTGGGATAACTGAGACTCTTTTATGAACTTTCTAAAAATTAGTAGCTCAAGTCTGTTCTTAGGTTGGCATAATTTACCATCCATATTTATATCCTATTTAATAATTATTTGAGCCCCTATTATAAGTTAGGAACTGGGGAAGTAACAAACCTGGAGTTCAACAATATTCATTGCATTGAGAGACTAGATATGAATGTTGGGTTAAAAAATTAGCATGTCTCAAGAGAATGAGGAGACAAGTCACAGAGTAGGAGACCATATTTGCAAAAGACACATCTGGTAAAGGACTGTTATCCAAAGTATACAAAGAGCTCTTAAAACCTAACAACAGGAAAACAAACCACCCAATTAAAAAACGGGCCAGGATTCCACCTGCCCCACCCCCAAGTGCCCTTCCAGCTGCGTGGAGCTCTCTCAGAGCTCCTGACTCCTACTGAGCTAGTGCCCCTGATCTCTCTCTCTCCAGCCATCATCATGATCATCTACTGGAACCTCATCAACCATGATGAGATGTTCTCCAACATCTACAAGATCCAGGAGATCAGGGACGGACTGTGCCTGGAGGTGAAGGAGAAGATGGCCAGCAGGACAGAGGGTACCACTGCTGACTTGCTCATCAGTGGAAATGCCTCTGCTGAAGGCCCGGAGGGTGAAGGTGCTGAAAGCACAGCCATCATTGTTGATATTGTCATGAACCATCACTTGCAGGAAACCAGCCTCACAGAGGAAGCCTACAAGGAGTACACCAACAATTGCCTGAAATCAGTCAAAGGCAAACTTGAAGAAGAGAAGACAGAACAAATAAACCCTTTTACAACAGGGGCTGTTGTAACAGAGTCCTGGCATTGAGTGCTGGGATCAAGTCCAGGGATCAATCCCCACATCAGGCTCCCTGCTTGGTGGGGAGTCTGCTTCTCCCTCTCCCTCTCCCCCTACCCCTTCCCCTGCTCATGTTCTTTCTCTCTCTCTAATAAATAAATAAATCTTTTTTTTTTAAGTGCCAAAGCCCAGACACACACACAAAATGACAATGAATAAACACCAAACTTCATCAACTCATTCTGATTAATGCTAATTTGGTTCCCGGGAATCTACTTATTTAATATTTGCTGAATTTACTCCTTTTTTAAAGAAGTATGACTTCAGGTAGCCTGGAAAATTAGCTGTGACAAGAGGATTGAAGATCTGCAAGAAGTCAGGACAAGAGTGGTTAAAATTCTAGAATCCCATCTTATTTTATTTTATTTTATTTAAGTACTCTCTACACCCAATATAGGGCTCAAACCCACAAACCCAAGATTAAGACTCACACACTCTTCTGACTGAGCAAGCCATATCCCCATAGAATCTCATTTTAAATGTCAGACACAGCCTTTCTTTCTCTGTCTCAAAAATATGAAATGAATTTTATAAAAAGTAAATAAAAGTTCATTCATACGTGAGTCATTTAACTTACCTCATCAGTGAGACTTGATTCAAAATACTGACAGGCAATACCGAGTGCAAGCTTTAGCCATATTTTATATTCCAAGGATGGCCAGAAGACATCAAAACCTTCATACAAATCCTCCAGGGAGATAAAGCAAGCCTAAAACCACAAGATATCAAACAACAAACTTGATTCAGAGCTGAATTACAAGGTCATCAGAAAACAAGGTGCCTGTTAAGATTTAATTCGCCCCTCTTACCATCAAATCTAGTTCAATTCTGATACTCCGCCATTTAAAAGCATTGCATTATGGAGAAACTGTTTCAATAAAATTTACAGTTCAAATAAAGTGTACACTTAGCAATAGCCAGTAAATTTATAGCAGTCAATAGCTATGATACAGGACAAGCTATGATTCACAAACTAAGCCACATAAACTTATTTTTATTGCCACAGTAGGTGAAGTAGGCTCGAAAGGGGACTTTAGCTGCCTCCGTTTTTTTTTTTTTTTTTTTTTTATTAAAGATTTTATTTATTTATTTGACAGAGAGAGATCACAAGTAGGCAGAGAGGCAGGCAGAGAGAGAGGAAGGGAAGCAGGCTTCCTGCTGAGCAGCAAGCCCGATGCGGGACTCGATCCCAGGACCCTGGGATCATGACCTGAGCCGAAGGCAGCGGCTTAACCCACTGAGCCACCCAGGCGCCCGAGCTGCCTCCGTTTTGACCTCAAACTTTCTAGTTGGGTTTTGCTTTCCAGCTTGTCTCTTGACTTGGGCAGAAGACCCTGAGCGGTGGGGGGCGCCTGGGTGGCTCAGTGGGTTAAAGCCTCTGCCTTCAGCTCAGGTAATGATCTCAGGGTCCTGGGATCGAGCCCGGCATCAGGCTCTCTGCTCAGCGGGGAGCCTGCTTCCTCCTCTATCTCTCTCTGCCTGCCTCTCTGCCTACTTGTGATCTCTGTCTGTCAAATAAATAATAAAATTAAAAAATTAAAAAAAAAGAAGACCCTGAGGGCAAAGCATCCCTGGATGGGAAGGACACTATCTCTGCGAACAGTGAGGACTGCCCTAAGCCAGCAAGACCCTGCCAGTGACTCCACGATAGTGAGCTATTTGACCTTCGCTGCCCACCTGCACATGTACCCGCCTTTGCCCCACATTTTCCTTACTTCCTAAACCTGGTAGTATTTTCAGCACGTTGGAGAGTCTTTGAGCTTCTCACTAGCAGTGTTCCCAGAGTGGACATCACGGAAATAAATTTCCTGTCCTGTTTCACCACCACTAGTGTCTCTGCCACTGGATTGTGTCAGGCGTTAAGGGGCCAAACCTGGTCTGTTGGGAAGCCCCGTAGCCAGTGCTCTCAGACCCCTGTGTGCCAGCCACAGGCTGATTCACAGTATTCATTTCCAGAGGTCAACTTCCCTGAGTAAGGAAGACTGCTTCTCCAGAATTTAAGCTACATGAACTTCAATGACTTCAGTTCAGCCTTGTGGATCAATTATGCCTCCTGTCCTCTTCTGGAAATGAAACGGTATGAAACTGACAAAGCGACATTGCCTTCTGTCCCATGCACCCCTAAGACTCTGCACCCCGCTTGATTGCATGGAACTGTCCCCAAAGCTGGAGGATTCCTTGTAAGCAGCAACTCTGGCTCATTTCTGTTTGAATCCCCCACATGTCGTGGGATATCAGGCCACTTATTTGGTGAATAGATAACTTCTTACTTAAGCCAGTGAGAAATGGAAGAAAGGGAATTTAAAAACAAGTGTTCTTTAAAAACACTGCTCCCAGAACGCGGTGGTCCCTCACTGGGTGTCTATCCGTGCCAGGGTCTTCACTTAGAAATTTTCCTCATCTTCATATTGTCCAAAGTTAGACCCTCTCTTTTAATAAACAAGGACATTAAGACACAAAGAGGTTAAAATAGCTCTCTAGGTCCCACAGCCAAGATGTGAGACACCAAATCTTTGCTCAGCTAATCCACGGGACTTCACAATGGCTGGCTGGGCGGACTGCGTAAAATATCAGAACCCAGAGAAAGAAAAGATTGCTGGCATTCATTATGTACTTCATAAAGAATTAACTAATAGCCCACAATACAGACAGAACCAGGTTCTTACCTGTAAAATAGTTTCACAGATGACGGTGTATTCAATTTCACGCTTAAGCAGACAGCTCAGCTCTCCAATTACGTCCCCACTGGTACAGTATTCTGTGAACATGGTTTTGGACCCTCTATCAGACCTTAGGCTACTGTCTATTCCGAAGGTAGGAGGTAAACTATGCAACTGCAAAAGGGAAATACAAAATTAAAAATACTTGATCAAATCGTGGGAGCTCCCACTGTTTGCTGCAATTACTAACGATGGAGGGAAAAGATTCTTTATGAAGGCCTTCAGGTGTGAAAAAGGTATTAAGGCTTCCCCAAAAAGTCACAGTTTCTTTCACATTTCAATTCTCCAAGGGAAGGATTGTTTCCAATCTTCATCTTTATAGATGACCCCGTATACAACACTTCTACTTACTCGTACCTTCCTTCTATAAAAATCCCACCAAAAGTACTGATTGCTGTCTACAACCAATGCACCCATCCACTCTGAGTCTATTAGCTGAGGTTTTAGAATACCGGTGAGGTTAGGTGGGGGTGCGGTCAGGAGCCGACGACCAAGAAGGAATTCTTGAGAGGTCTTTGGTGCAAAATGGTGGTTTTATTAAAGCACAGGGACAGGACCTGTGGGCAGAAAGAGCCGCTGCATGGGGCTATGCGGGGGTGACTGATAATATACTGTCGGGTTGGAGGGGTAAGGAAAAGGAAGGTTTCAAAAGGGTTTTCATATGTAAAGAAGACTCACTAGATTACTTGCCATTGTCAAGTTAAAGTTGTTTTTCCCTCTAGCAAGGCGTTATGATTCATCCCAATATTAAGATAAGTCTGAAGCTTCTACTCTGCCCACCTCAAGTATTTGTCAATGAGCTGCAGGTTTTAAGGACATTTAATTGTATCTACATTTCCTTCAGGAAGCTAGGCTATTGATAGAAATGCTTCATTCTTGTAGATTGCTAAAATATTTGTAAACTGAGGTAGACTCAGGTCTTGCAGGATTATGATCTCTAGCAGTTAACTATTTGTTTTTCCTTTCCTTAGCTTTAGGGTAGCCAGAAGTGCAGGAGGAATGTCACATATGTCCCATGGTGGAGGGTTGTGGGGTGTTAGCTTCTGCTTTGTCCTCAACTTGCCTTCTGTTCCCTCATCATTATTAGAAATTCTTATCATAATGGGCCAGTGCCTGGGGTGGAAGAAGACCTTTGATTTTATGGATGCAGAAATCAGATGCCAGAAATTAATACGCCTCCAAACCAAGCCATGATTTCCATCAACTTTGTCACCCTTTAAAATGCTTAAGAATAGGGGCACCTGGGTAGCTCAGTCGTTAAGCATCTGCCTTGGGCTCAGGTCATCATCCCAGGGCCCTGGGATCCAGCCCCACATTGAGCCCCACATCAGGCTCCCTGCTCAGCAGGAGGCCTGCTTCGCCCTCTCTTGCTCCCCCTGTTTGTGTTCCCTCTCTGTGTCTCTCTCTGTCAAATAAATAAATAAAAATCTTTACAAATAAATAAAATCCTCAAAAATAATTTCCATGGTAGTGGGTGGGGTGCCTGGCTGGCTCAGTCCATAGAGCCTGTAACACTTGATCTCGGGGTCCTGAGTTTGAGCCCCATGTTGGTGGTAAAGATTGCAAAAATAATAATTTCCATGGGCCATTGACAGAAAAAGTTTTTAGGGTGAATAAAGTATGACTGAATCACTTCAGGAAGAGAATGTATAGGCATGGATGGGGAAATAAGAACGCTATCAGATTTCAGGAGGAAGCTGCTGGAATCAACCAGAAGGATTACAGAATTTTTCAGAAAGTTTAGCTGTAAACATCTAAGAGGAAGGCTATTGTTCAGGACACAAGTAACAGGGAACAAAGGGTCACTGAAGAAGTTGCTGTGAAACCGCCCCCTGCCAGTGATTACCCTGAGATATTCAGAGGCATTCATGCTTCCAAAGGGCTTTGACATTTTCCTAATTTGATTTTGAATGCAGTTCAAAGACTGTGAGTAATGAACAATGTCTCTGCTTTTTACAAACGAAGAAAAGAAGATAATATCTACCAGCAGAAGTTAAAGAAGTCCTTCCAAGATTCCTGTCTCTTTGTTATTCAATCCAACATTAATCTAGGTGTCCTGGGGGAAGGGACTTTGCAGATGCAATGAAGATCATTAATCAACAGACTCGGGAGAGACCGCTCTGGATGATCCTGGTGGGCCAAAGGAATCGGTCACAAGAGCCCTCAAAGGCAGAAAAGGAAGTAGAGTCCATCCGAGAGAGGGGGCATCAGGAGAGGGATTGGTAGTACTTCCGGCTCTGGGATGGCGCCGCCTGCAGGGATGGAGCAGCAGATGGTCGGTCTGATTCTTGATGCTTGGCGTGAAATTAAGCTTTGCTTGACCTTCGCTTTGTATCAGTCTCGCTCCTTTAATCACGGACCCATTATTGGGGTACCCATTTTTGGGGGGATCTAACAGTCACCAAAAACCTCCTTTTGTTTAAGTAAAGGTTGTAATTTCAGTCCTCATTCTATTTGACCACTGTAAGGATCTGACATTGCAGTCTATCCCCTCATTCTTTTTTTTTTTTTTTAAGAATTTATTTATTTATTTATTTATTTGACAGAGAGGGATCACAAGTAGGCAGAGAGAGGAGGGGGGTGGGGAGCAGGCTCCCTGCTGAGCAGAGAGCCCAATACGGGACTCAATCCTAGGACCCTGGGAGCTGGAGATAGGTCCAAGCTGACATCCTGCAAAGAAGCAGGGACGTCTGTCCTATAGCCATAAGGAACTAGATTCTATCAACAACCTCAAAGAATCTGGCAATGGGTTCTGCCCTCGGAGCTTCCAGAAGGGAACGCTACCTTGCCAACCCTCTGATATTGGCCTTGTGACACTCAAGCAGAGAAAGCAGGACTGATGAACTAAGAATTCCGAGAAACCAATCTAAGCCACTAGATGTATGCTGCGTTGCTACAGCATCAGTTGAACACCAACATGACATCTGCAACCGGAATACTGTTGGACTTACTCCTGAAGAAGAATTAACTAGGTCAGTCATTGCAGGAAGATTCCCCAAAGGGAAATGTATGTTGCAGCTTCTAAAAGTTCGAGTTGACATAATCTAAAAAATACGGGTAGCAGTGTATTTTTGTTTTGATTCTAAAGGGAGCATAGCACAAGGATTCTACTGGAAGCAGCATAAAATAATGTCTGAGTACATGGATACTGAGGCCAACTCCCTGGGTTCAAAGCCCTTCTTGACCTTTTACTGTGTGCCCTTGGGAGACAAGTGAATTAATTTGTCTGTGCACCAGTTTTCCCATGTGAAAAATAAGGCTATTATAAGGATTAAATGTCATAATATATTGCCATTTTGACCACCCTTTACAAAATTACAACTAACCTCTTCAATTGTCAATCAATTCTAATGTAAGGGCCTACTTAGCCAGAGCGATTTCATCTTGGTTAAACAGTGATTTTGTTGTTTATGCAGTAAAACTTAAACCGACCCCCCCCCCCCCGACCAACTTACTTAAAAGCAAGTCTAGGAAACCAGTAAAAAGATGGTCGACCAGTCCCTGATAACAGAGCCCTAATACAAGGGTGGGTCAGGTCAGGTGGAGGTAACAGAGCCCGGATGCAGGGATGAGTCCGGCCAGGTGGAGACATCCAATCAGTGGAACACGCATACTGTCTCCCTAGCTACCAAGGAGTGTGGGCCCCGCCTTTTGGGCGCCTTTTGGGCGCCAATTCTGACTAAGGTGATAGGCTAGTTCAAATAGCTACTATGGGGTGAGTTGTAGTTCAATTGACCACCTGTGTGTGACCTAGCATGACTGTGCAGCTTTCTCTGTGTGTTGCAATCTCATTGGCCACCTGTGTGTGGCCGGGCCCAACCACATGGCCTTTGCTCTATAAAAGTTAGTCTGTGAGGCTGGGAGTGGCTCCCTCTCTCTGTAAGAGGTGGCCCCGATGGTCAGTTTGATTTTTGATGCTTGGCGCGAAATAAAGCTTTGCTTGACCTTCGCTTTGTATCAGTCTCGCTCCTTTGATCACGGACCCTAACACTAACATACTGTACATTTAACTTATTTATTTTGCTCATTGTCCCATCGCCTTCCATGCCTCTGCTAGAAAGTGAACTCTAAGAAGGCGGGGATTTTTGTCTGTTTGGTCAATTCCCCGTGTCTAGAATGAACAGTGCCTGCGGCAGGGTAGTAATGAAGTAAACATTTGTTGAGTGAATGAATGAACATTTAAAAATTTTAAAATGCACTACATGTGTATTATATTTATCAAAATAAATTTTATATCAAAATAAATATTTATCAAAATAGTTTATTTCCATAATCAATTGGCTATTTTTAAGGCCTGAAATATCCCTTTCAAAAAATAGAAAGCCAAATACGTTATGTGCACTAGAATAATGGTTTGTCACTGATAAGCATCATTCAAGGCCTAGGAATTATTTGGGCCATAGCTGGGGCTCACCATGTATTCAGCTACTGGCATTCAGACTCAAAAGGATTCTTGTTCCCCTCACTCTACTAACATCTTTCTCTCTCTGGTCACTGTAAGGACCTATTTTATATTTTTATTTTAGCCAGAGGCTTCCATTGAGATTAAACAATAACTTTGTTGTTTAACCTTTAAACAGTCCCTGCTCCCCTTCCCCCAGGGGACTTAAAAACAAGTCCCGGAAACCAGCTCCAGGTAACAAAGCCCAGTACAAGGGTGGGTAAGGCCAGGTGGAGGTATTCAATCAGTGGGGGCACATACTGTCTCCTAGCTAACAAGGTGATGGGCTAGTTTCCATGGCTACTGTGGGGTGAACTGTAATTCAATTAGCTACCTGTGTGTGGCCAGGCCCAACCACATGGCCTTTGCTCTATAAAAGTTAGTCTGGAAAGCAGGGAGGGGTTGTCCTCTAAAAGGGGCGACCCCGGCTGGTCTGTTTGACAGTCGGTCTGATTCTTGATGCTTGGCGTGAAATAAAGCTTTGCTTGACCTTCGCTTTGTATCAGTCTCGCTCCTTTAATCACGGACCCATTATTGGGGTACCCATTTTTTGGGGGGACCTAACAGTCACCAAAAGCCTCCTGTTGTTTAAGTAAAGGTTGTAATTTCAGTCCTCATTCTATTTGACCTCTGTAAGGATCTGACATTGCAGTCTATCCCCTCATTCTTTTTTTTTTTTAAGATTTTATTTATTTATTTGACAGAGAGGGATCACAAGTAGGCAGAGAGGCAGGCAGAGAGAGAGGAGGAAGCAGGCTCCCTGCTGAGCAGAGAGCCCAATACAGAACTAGATCCCAGGACCCTGAGATCATGACCTGAGCCAAAGGCAGCGGCTTAACCCATTGAGCCACCCAGGCCCTCCCCTCATTCTTGACTCTCATTTCCTTTAGATAATCAGCCACTCCAAGTATTGCATTCCTTATCTGAACATCATGGAAAAAACCACTTCCTCCCAGGACTGCTGCAAGAAATAAGTAATGACTCTAAAAGCATTTTGCTAAATGGGAAGCACCTTTCAGATGTTGGGTCTTATCCTTCAGCTGTGGTCTTTGCTCTGAGCAGAAATGGCTTCATTCAGAAATTATGTTAAAAATTCAAAACTTTCAAGGCCCCTCAGTGGCTCAGTCAGTTAAACGTCCGACTCTTGATTTCAGCTCAGGTCATGATCTCAGGGTCCTGAAGTGGCATTTGGGCTTCCTCGCTCAGCACAGACTCTGTTTGACTTTTTCTCCCTCTGCACAACACCCCCCCCCCACCTTTCACACTTGTGTTTTTTTTCTCTCTCTCTCTCTCTCTCAAAATAAATAAATATATCTTTTAAAAAGAATTGAAAACTTTCCCGGTTCCTAAATGTTTCCTTGTATTAAAATCATATATTTCAAAAATACATTTTCAGCAAAGAGTAAATAGTCCCTCACAATTGCCATTCCGGAAATAACTAAGTAGATTCCTTGTGGCATTTCACCTTCTCTACAAATGACATCTCCGTAGTCAAAATAAGCAAGTTTGGCTCTCTCCTGCAAGAAAAATAAAAAGGGAGTCAACACAAAGGATCTAAATGGAAATAAGATTTTAAAGTTAAAATGGTTTCCAAGTAGAAAAAAAAAAAAAACGCACTGACTATATTCTCTGGTTTATTAATGAATTATAACGTGGGGACATGCTTCATTAGTTTTTTTGAAAGAAAGGAACAAGCGAGCAAACTGTCGACTTTGTGATCAGCACTGGGCACAGTGACTGGTGGAAATACCCAATAAATGTTCAGTTGAGTAGATGTTTCTAATAAAGTGTGATACTTCCGACAAAGCAGACAAAGACAGGATGCTCTGGAGAAGTCCAGAAAGGCCAAGGGACCCTGTCTTGGGTGTCCAGGGAAGACTTTAAAGAGTAAAGTCTGGGGGCGCCTGGGTGGCTTCAGTGGGTTAAAGCCTCTGCCTTCAGCTCAGGTCATGATCCCAGAGTCCTGGAATTGAGCCCCAAATCGGCTCTCTGCTCAGCAGGGAGCCTGTTTCCTCCTCTCTCTCTGCCTGCCTCTGTCTACTTGTGATCTCTGTCTGTCAAATAAATAAATAAAATCTTAAAAAAAAAAATAAAAAAATAATAAAAAAAAAAGAGAGAGTAAAGTCTGAGGGCTAAAGGAAGGGTGACAGATGGCCAGGATACAATGAGCTGAATATCATTCAGGGCAGAGGATTCAGTACGTGCAAAGACCCAAAGGCCATTAGAACATCTGCCCTTGGGGTAGCTGCAGAAGACCCAGTATGTCTCAGATGGGAGGTGGGGGCGAAGTGGGGGGGACCAAGACTGAGTTATGGATTAGGCCTTAATAGGCATAGTGCATAGCATTCACAATACTTTAGAGACTCACAACAACATTCTGGTTTCTTTTAAAATCGGAAGGGAATAAAACAACTTCTGCAAGAGGAAAATGTTTTAACACTAATATATTCATCTTTATACTAACGCGGTCATAAAGTATAATTTTTTGTACTTTTTGATGGGGCAAGAGCCCCACTAAGGCAAAAGTGCCAGGGCTCGTGAAAGTTGTCACGCAGCTGCAGTAGGGAAAGGACCGGAGAGGTGACCCCAGAGTCAGACCTTGAAGGTCCTCACAGACACTTTAAAGAGTTTGGGCTTTTCCCCAAAACCAAGGAGGAGCCACTGAAGGGTTTGTAACTGGAGAATGAGAGGGATAGATTTGCAATTTACAAAGATATGTAGGAAACATATTTCAAAATCATTCATAGTGGTTATCTCTAAGTGTGGGCTAAGTGACAAGTTTTCACTTTTCACTTCGTGTCCTTCTGAATTATTTCACAGCATTGAAACAGGCACTGATGACTTCACAGTGTTTTTTTTAAGTCCCCTAAAGCCAAATATCCAGCTTACGTATTATTCAGACCTTGGTTTTCTACCATTGACTTCTGGCTTATCGTTATAGACCTTTATGTTTTTAATTAACCACACCAATTGAAGGATGAAAGAAGGGAGGAGTATTTAAAATAAACTATTATAGCTGTGATGGAAACCAAGATTGAAATTATAGTCTACAATAAGGGGTGTTTCTTTTGTCTGCTGTGTGGAGTTCCCTGTTAGTCACATAATCCCTGGGCGGTCCCTAATGAGAATAATGCCCGTTTATTCCCAACTCATCACAATTTTTATCCTGGTCAAATCAATTGAAATGTCTATCAAAAACCAACATATGAAGGAAAGAGGACACTCAGACTGAGAGAAGCCTGTAAGAGGGTAAAGAAAGTCCAACAGCCTTGCAGAGGTATGGCAAGTTAGGGACAGGAGGAGGTTGTGTCCCAGTGACAGGTTCACCTCAGGTGTGTGTGAATCACTAATATATAGAGTTATCTTCTTCTCATGGGTTTCCCATTCCTCCCCATTCACTGCTGAATGGTCAGTTAATTAATTACACTTGTGAAAATTACTACCTATAAAGAACCAAATTCTGATTTTATCTTAAATTGGATTTTAACAAAACTAAGCAGAATGCAAATTATAAGAAACATTATTGAGATACCTTCTTCCCAGTCCAAGCCCAACTCCCACCTCCCACTCCCATTTATTTGAGCTCTATTCTCTAAACTATCCCCTATGGCCCCTGGCCATCCCATCAGGTTTCCTCCTCCTCCTTGTAGCCACACTTGCCCTCGCCAAAGCAGGACATCAGATCCAAGCCAGTTAGATTTCTCTCTCAAGAATTTGAACCGAGAGACAGAGTGTCTGGGAATTGAGAGCTGAGCATGATATCCAAGTGCTAGAAGAAAGGTCCAAAGATGCCCACCAATGATATTCCTGAGCTGGCCTGAATCCCACCATACCCGTTAGTTAGCTAACCATTTCTTAGCATCTTCTACACAACATCCCACTGTCTTTTCAGTCAACTTCCCCTTTGCTTAAACTGGTTCAAGTAAGCTTCTGTTACTTGCAACCAAAGGAGTCTTTTTTTTTTTTCTTTTTTAAGATTTTATTTATTTATTTATTTATTTGAGAGAGAGCAGGAAGAAGTATGAGCGGGGAGGGAGAGGCAGAGGGAGAAGCAGACTCCCTGCTGAGCAGGAAACCCAATTTGGGGCTTGATCCCAGGACCCTAGGATCATGACCTGAACTAAAGGCAGACACTTAACCAACTGAGCCTCCCACATGCCCTAAAACCAAAGGAGTCTTAATTCAAGAAAATTTGAAATCAATTTCAAAAGAAAAATTCAAAAATTTCTGGCATGAAGAAAACATTAGTATAGCAAGAAAGGAATCAACTCAGCAGAACCTGATTAAGACTGCTCTCTTTCCTGGGTGCCTGTGTGGCTCAGTGGGTTAAAGCCTCTGCCTTCGGCTCAGGTCATGATCTCAGGGTCCTTGGATCAAGCCCCACATCTGGCTCTCTGCTCAACAGGGAGCCTGCTTCCCCCTCTCTCTCTGCCTGCCTCCCTGCCTACTTGTGATCTCTGTCTGTCAAATCAATAAATAAAATCTTTAAAAAAAAAAAAAAAGACTGCTGTCTTTCTAGAAAACAAGGAAAATGTCCTTATTATGGACAAACAGATGCCTTATGTATCCACGTGCCTAGATCACAAAGTATGGTACAACGAAATTTGTGGTAAAGCAAACACCATTCCTTGTCACAGAGTTTTCCTAATTCTAAAAAATCTAACAGAGGTTTTAAGAGGTTGATGAAAAATCATAAACCTTGTAATTCATACAAAAGCCATTTAAAACCAAAGTCACACACTGGTCTATGGGTCATATCTAATTCAAGGATGTATTTTGTTCGCCCTACATGATACTTGAAAAATTTTGAATTCGTGCCAATTTTTTAAAATTTGGAAATTTCACATAAAAATTCAAATCTATGGGCTTTTTTAAAATCTGAGCTGTACATTATTAAATCTAAGAGTCAATTTTCGATCATCATCTTATTTGGTCTCATCCTCGTTTGACATAGTTGCTTACAGTCTCCTTTATGAAATATTTTCTTCACTTGGCTTCTGGAATACACTCTCTTTTAGTTTTCCTCCCACCTAAAGGATTACTCCTCAATTCTTCTTTTTTTTCCCAGTTTTATTGAGATGTAATTGACATACAGCACTGCTCAAGTTTAATGTTTATAGCATAATGACTCAATATAAATATATTGTGGGTGCCTGGTTGGCTCAATGGGTTAAGCCTCTGCCTTTGGCTCAGGTCATGATCTCAGGGTCCTGGGATTGAGCCCTGCATCGGGCTCTCTGCTTGGCAGGAAGCCTGCTTCCCTCTCTCTCTGCCTGCCTCTTTGCCCACTTGTGATCTCTCTCTCTGCCAATAAATAAGTAAAAATCTTTTTAAAAATACCTATATTATGAAACAATTACCATAAGTTTAATTAACATCCATTATCTCTTCTAATTACAAAAAATAATTATTTTCCTTGTGATGGGAAATTTTAGGACTTAATCTCTTAGCAAGTTTCAAGTACACCACACAGCAATGTTAAATATATACTCATCATGTTGTACAGCACATTCCTAGCACGCCTTTATCTTTTAACTTGGAAGACTGTACCCTTTGACCATCTTCCTTCAATTCCCCCTCCCCCCATCCTCTGCCTCTGGTAACCACAAATCTGATCGCTTTTTCTATTCTTTTCACTAATTCCTCCTCATCTCCCTTTTAAATGTTGGATAGCCCAGGACTCAGTCCTTGGATATCCATAGTAATTCCTTAAATTATCTCATCAAGTTTCTATGCTGACAACCCCAAAATCTCTATCTCCCATTTGGCCTCCCACCTGAATTCCAGTCACATATCCTACTGCCCACTTGACATCTCTATTTGGATGTCTAACGGCTTTCTTAAATTTAACTCATTCAGAATCGAATACTTGTGCCCTCCATATAAATCTTCTCTTCTCCATCTAAGTCAACAGGAACTCCATCCTATTTTCAGACTCAAATCCCAGAAGGCATTTTCTGTCTCTAACACTCCTTCCATCAGCACCTAAGAGCTCTACCTTCAAAACACCCCAAGAGTCTGACCACTGACCACTTGTTCTAATCCAAGTCCCCATCACTTCTTGCCTCCATTACAATCATCATCTTCCTGGCTTGCCCATATCACCTTATAGCCTATTCTCCACACAGCACCAAGGTGGGCATTTTTCTTTTTCTTTCTTTCTTTTTTTATTTTTTTTTAAAGAGCAGGTTTTGTTTTTGTTTTTGTTTTTGTTTTTTGAAGAGTTTATTTATTTATTTGACAGACAGAGATCACAAGTAGGCAGAGAGGCAGGCAGAGAGAGAGGAGGAAGTAGGCTCCCTGTTGAGCAGAGATCCTGATGCTGGGCTCAATCCCAGGACCCTGGGATCATGACCTGAGTCGAAGGCAGAGGCTTTAACCCACTGAGCCACCCAGGTGCCCCAAGGTGGTCATTTTTCAATATGAGTTATATCATATCACTTCTCTGTTTGAAACCTTTGCATAAGTTCCCATTTAAGTCAGAGTAAAAGCCAAAGTCCTGGCCTACAGAGTTGTACAAACTCAGGCTCCACACCTACTTCAACTTCATCGGCTCCTGCCATCACTAGTTCTGCCACAGGGGCTTTGGGGATGTTCCTTGAACAAACTGAGCCGGCCATTGCACTTGCCAGGAATGCTCTCCTCCCAGACTATCTACCGTCGGTATGCTACTGCTTACAGATCTCTCTTCAACCATCACCTACTAGGGCGGCTTCACTGATCACCCCATATAAAACAGCTTCTCAATTATATTCGCTTTTCTCCCTTTTTCTCCATAGCATTGACAATCATCTACTAGACCATATATTTGTGTGTTGGTGTGTTTATTGTCCATCTCTATCCAAATAATATAAAGTGCAAAGCAAGGACTTCATTTACTTTGTTCACTGGCATTATCCCCAAACCTATAACGGTCTCTGGCACAAAGAGGATTTTCAATAAATATTTCTTGAAAGAATCCAAATTCCAATAAAAACACTCAGCTGACTTTAGACAGACCACAAACTCTGGATTATACCGCAGATCTCATTGTTCCCTATTATACTATATACAGCTTATTTTACTTTTAGATCATCTGCCTGGCCTGTATAGTAATTAAAACTTGAAACCCTTACTCTTAAAAAAAGTCCTTTCCAGAGGGTGTATCTAGAAGTACGAACTCTACAACATAAAATAAGATGGTCACACAGACATCTTATCCTAAGCAGATAAGCCATTGTGAAAAATCATCTTTGCCTTGTAGGCTCAAAGTGAAATCTACTCTTCTGGGTTTTGCTGGGCCTCCATTTTGGCTTACCCTTCGCTGGTTGTCGCTGGATTCTTGCTTTAAATATGCTTCTTGTTAGTCCTGCATTAGAGAGTGGAAAATAATTATCATCAAACCTGAGTCAGAATAGAAGACAGAATCTTTACCTTGAAGAACTCAATGAGAACATCCTTATTTTCCAACCAAACAATATTATGAAGATATTTGTCAGGAGTAGGCGGTGGGATTGCCATTGGAAAGTTATTCAGTGCTTTTATTTTTGCAAGGAGTACCTGAAAACAAACAATCAAAATAATGGTGATCAGATTCTGTGACGGAAAAGGGATAGTAGGTAAAAATTAAGGAACTCTAACAAAACTACTGTTCTGTAAATTCATTTTGATTTTGACTCACAGTTTCTCTCACCCTACTGAAATTACCCTCTAACCTTTATTGGTCCTTATTCTTCCCTTAACTCATTGAATTTCTGAATTGATATATTAACTCAATTTGAGTTTATTACCTTTATAATCCAGTTAACACTGTCTGATACTGTCTTAATTTTAAAATCATCTAAACTTCACAGTTGATCACTGTACAATATAATCCACATTTTCTCAAATCTTTTTCATGTGTATGATTTGCTTTTCTAAATTCTTCTAATTTTGAAGGCTATAGTTCCAGCTTTGTGGGCTCTCAGAAACCTTCTCTGGCTTCTCAGTAAGAGATAATCACTTGTCTGCCTTATTCCCATGGCATCCCCTACAGATCTCCCTATGCAACTGATAACATTATACTATTATTGTTTTTACTTATCTGCCTCACCCTCACCCAACTTTTGTTGATTGTATGAATAAAGGACTGAATGAAAGAACAAGGAAAAGCCCATGGACTTTGTGGGCAATGTTGTGTTAAGTGTCCTAATCTCCTCAAAAGTCTGTGGCACATGGTAGGTATCCAGTATGTATTTACTCAATTAAATTGAATTAGCTAGCTAACTCTTTATGCCTTGGAAGATAATTATAGCTCTTTGGCTGACAGGCAATCAGTATGCTTTCAATAATTAACTATGGGATGACTAATTTACCCATTACCTTTCTAAACAAAACTATAGGAAAAAAAAACTCTCTCCTCATAAGGCTATTATTTATTTATTTTAATTAATGGTATCAAGTATTCAACTGAAATCTGATCTAGCCTTCAAAGTGATAAGTGAAAAAAAATAGAATAGAAAACGTAGTGTGGGGGTGCCTGGGTGGCTCAGTGGCTTAAGCGACTGCCTTCGGCTCAGGTCATGACCCCGGAGTCCTGGGATTGAGTCCCACATCAGGCTCCCAGCTCCATGGGGAGTCTGCTTCTCCTTCTGACCTCCCCTCTCATGCTCTCTCTCACTCTGTCTCTCTCTCTCTCAAATAAATAAAATCTTAAAAAAAAAAAAAGAAAGAAAACATAGTGTGTGTAGATGCATAGCCTGAAGACTACTGTAATGTAGCCCTTTTCTTTGGTCTGTCAGACACTAAGGAGAAATCGTATTACCCATTTAGTCCTTCACCATGATATTAGCCTAAAGAGATAGAACCTTAAAGGGGAAAGCTGGCCTGCCCCACACCCATTTCCCTTTGGGGCCAGTGGAGAGGGGACTGTATCTTGGGAATGACTAGAAGCACAGTGCACGTGACACTTGGCTGGGAGCTGCGCGTGTGACACTCCAGAGCAGCTAATCAGTGGGCAACACAGACAGAATGTGGGACCAGAGCTTCCATGTTTCTGCCTTATGCTAGGAAACAGATTCTTACAAAGGATAGAAAGAATAATTATATTTGCACAAATACATGGTCTAGATGGTAGATGTGATAGAGTGATAGCATTAAATATTAACAATGTTTTCCTCTGTCTTATGTCCCTATTTTTTTGCAAACACATGTCATTTTTCAAATGTCTACTCATCAGAAACCAAAGATGGTGTCTTCCCTGCTCCTCTCCTCTCAGAACTGCCACCAACACACACAAGCTGATCCTCTCCTTATCATATAAACATTATGTGATTCCCACCTCCCTCATCACAGCTGCTAGGACTGGGCACTGCACATTTACCAGTAAACAGAGAAGCAGAAAAATGTTGTTGAGTTTTTGGAGGGAGCCACAAGATATTGGCACAGAGGGCAACCTTGATAGGAAATGGGAGAATCTGGAAAGCTTTCCAGTTCTGTAGTCAAGTCCTTTCCTCAGGCCTGGCCACATGGTCTGGCTACTGTGGATTCTGTAAGACACCATGTGTCTTTTTAAAAAAAATATTTATTTATTGGAGCACGTGGGTGGCTCAGTGGGTTAAGCCTCTGCCTTCGGCTCGGTCATGATCCCAGGGTCCTGGGATCAAGCTCTGCATCGGGCTCTCTGGGGGGGGTAGCCTGCTTCCCCTCTCTCTCTGCCTGCCTCTCTGCCTACTTGTGATCTCTGTCTGTCAAATAAATAAATTTTTAAAAAATATTTATTTATTTATTTGATAGAGAGAGAGAGAGAGAGATCACAGTAGGCAGAGAGTCAGGCAGAGAGAGAGGGAAGCAGGCTCCCTGCTGAGCGGAAAGCCCGATGTGGGGCTTGATCCCAGGACCCTGAGATCATGACCCGAGCTGAAGGCAGAGGCTTAGCCCACTGAGCCACCCAGGCGCCCCCACCATGTGTCTTTATAATAAATCCTCCAACCCCATTTCTTAGCTAAGCCTAACTTAGGCTGGTTTCTGTTACTTGCAGCCAAACAGTTTTGACATGGTAGGTATGTACCAGATAGCGTTGGCGCTCGCTGCCGCTGGTATTAACAAAGGCTTTAGGCAAAGGACAGAGTTAACACCTGATTTAACTCCCTCACTCGTTACACTCTGCCCAAGCTGCAATGTGGGCTTGGGCCTATGGAATCAAGCCAAATGGAAAATCACTTTCTTACCTTATTCATCTCGATGCCCTCATGTTTATCAATAATGCCTCTTGACCACAGGAAGGTGAGGTTTTTCAGAGCTTTAGCAATCACACTCCGGATTGCCTGCCTGGTCTTCAAAGCAATGACAACATCGCGACCCTCATGCTCGATGAGTCCTGAAGCAAATAAAACTGTTCGTAAGCAAACGGTGCAATGACCGCATTGATAACTAATACCTATGTAATGGTTTATAGTTTCCAAAGTATTTACACGATACCTGTCATGCCTGTTCCATACAGAGCTTGTGAGGCTGGGGGTCTAGAGCTATCTCCAACTCCATTTGATGGATGAAAACATTGAAAACTGGCTTCCCCCACAAACTAGGAGAAACTCACCTTCTCTGCCTTAGTCCCATGGCATGTCCTACATATCTCCATTACGGAATTTATTACATTGTGGCATTTTGATTTTTATTTATTTGTCTCATCCTAAATATCAAATGACTTAATGAAAGAGCCCCTGGACTTCAGCTGGTAGAACTTTCTGAGATCAGATCGCGTATCTTGTCCTCTTTAGCGAACACAGGAAGTCACGAACTGGGCTGTGACTCACAACCAAAACTGCATCTCCTTCATCTTTGTACTCCTAACATGGAGCAAAATCCCTGATGTCAAACTTTTTTTTTTTTTTAAACTGGCTGGTAAAATGAAAGATAGCGTGATTGGGAACATAGGTTGTTGGAGCACTTGGCTCTTGACCTTGGGATCATGAGTTCGAGCCCCATGTTGGGTGTGGAATCTACTTAAAATTAAATTTTTTTTTTTTAAGGAACTTAGGTTTCAATGTCCAGTACACCCTGCCTGGATATCCAGCTCACCACTTACGGCCCTTATGACTTCAGGCAAGTTAATCTTTCTTTCTTTCTTTCTTTTTTTTTTTTTTTTGAAGATTTTATTTATTTGTCAGAGAGAGAGAGAGCGCGCGAGAGCGAGCACAGGCAGACAGAGTGGCAGGCAGAGTCAGAGGGAGAAGCAGGCTCCCCGCCGAGCAAGGAGCCCAATGTGGGACTAGATCCCAGGAGGCTGGGATCATGACCTGAGCCGAAGGCAGCTGCTTAACCAACTGAGCCACCCAGGCGTCCTAAGTTAACCTTCCTAAACCTTAAATCTTATAGCTTCATTATCTATAAGATGAAAATGATCATAGTATATGCCACATAGAGTAATCATAAAGATTAAATGAAATAATGCATATAAACCTGTTAACACAGTTCCTGACATAATTAACATTTAACAATCACATGCAGTAACTATTTGGGAACAGGCACTCCTTTTTATGGGACTGAATCAAGAGAACTTTCTAATTGTCCCTTCTAACCTAAAAGCATACTATGAGACAGCAGCTCCTAGACCCCTAATCTTTAAAAGCACAGAAATAAAAATCTACCTACATGTAAAGGCAACAATGGGTCCTGGATTTTCTGAGACCGCACCAAAATTTCTGGCATGTTGTCTCCAAATCCACAATTTCATTCATGAGGCCACATTCTTCTAATTTTGATTTGGAAAGTCTGACCCTCATAAATCCATATGATATCTTATAATATAGTTATGAACACAAAGTGGTCTTACTTGATTTCTTTTATAATAACTTCCGTTTCTGCCAGGCTCTCTTCCCAGACACTTATGCATACACTGAGAGCCTGGCCTACAGCCCCTTGTAAGGAAAACAGACCCAAGCAGCTTTGTGTAGACTCCTAGGGCTCCTGCTGCATGCTTCAACTCAAGCAGAGTGATTATAGATGCCCAAGAAATGACCTCCCTTGTAGCCCCACATTCCTGAGCATCCTTGCAAGCAAAGTAGAACAAAACAAAGACACCCTTTGTCAAATGTGATTCTCACGTGTCTTACTCTTGCAGCCTTAAGGAACCTGATCTTGCCACTTTAATATACTTTCCACGCTCCTCATTCTTTCCTCTACGTTCCCACAGCAAGTACAAGACTTCCTCTCACTTTCTGCAATTGTCCATTGGTATTCTCATACCCTCCACCAGGCTCTGCGCTTTCAGCATACCTGGCCTTCTGCGTGCATTCAGTAAATGCTTGTTGAATGAATAAATGAGTAATAAAAGGAAAATTTGAACTTGTCTTCCCTCGGTTAAATTATGGATAATAATAAGCTGTGATTTCGGGAAATCAGACTCTCCCAACTACATACCTAGTTCTTTGACAGCATCTCGTTTGTTGGTTTCCAAAATTTCATATAATTTCTGTAAGAAGTTAAGAAAGACATTACTTTGTTACTACAGCAAGTGCATGTCTGCCTTTAAAATCTGAGAAAAAGAAGCAATCCCACTTAGTTTATGATGTGGGGGAGAGGTTTGGCTCAATTCTTTTCTCTGTGCGGATTCTGCTGCTTTCTCCGTGCTCCTACTCCTATTACAATGAATAGTCTGCCGTCGGTAGCTTGCATAACCACCGGACCCAGCCTTTCTCCGAGACAATGACTGTGCATTCCACTGCGCACCGAGGAGAATTCTCACAGACAGAGCTCTGTTAAGAGAGAGCCAACTGAGCAGCTGTTTGGGCAGCTAGTCTATTGGGAGCATAAAAACCAGCAGAAGAATGAGAAATGATGGTACTGATTAGTTCATGTTTCCTACGGATAACTCCTGCCATAAGAAACAGCTCTATGCCAGGGCTCATGGTGCTTTAAGCAGCGCTCAGTCATGCGGTGGGTGTTGGTCAGATGCCCACATGTCCCGGGCTCTGCTCTTTGTGGAGCTTATTCTCCAGCTTTCAGTCTTTCTGGAGCTTGCCCTTGGCCACACCAACAGCCCTGGCCGCCAACAACCAGCAGTTCCCTAGGATTGTCAGGGACAGACGACTGAAACCCTGCACCCGAGTAACACACAGCATAGTTCTGTTCACGGGGAAGAGTAACAAACACGGTGCTACTTTACTGGCTTGTGATGTTTTGTTTTTTGGGTTTGTTTTGTTTTGTTTTAAGATTTATCTACCCATTTTAGGGGCACTGGGTGGCTCAGCCAGTTAAGTGTTTGCCTTCGGCTCAGGTCATGTTCCTGAGAAGCAGGGAGCCTGCTTCTCCCTTTCCCTTTGCCCATCTCCCAGCTCGTTCTCTCTCTCTCTCTCTCCCTCTCCCTCTGCAGCCCCTCTTGTGCTTTTCTCTCTCAGTCTCACTCTATCTCCTATAAATAAATAAAAACCTTAAAAAAAAAAAAAGATTTACCTATCCATTTGAGAGAGAGTTTGCACACACATGGGGCGGGGGGGACAGAGGGAGAGGGACAGAGGGAGAGAATCTCCAGGAGGCTCCCCGTTGAGCACAGAGCCCAATGCAGAGCTCCATCCTAGGACCCCGAGATCATGACCTGAGCCCAGATCAAGAGTCTGATACTTAACCAACTGAGCCACCCAGGTGCCCCTACAGGCTTGTTATCTAAAATTTAAGTAACTAAAGTTATGTTTTTGCTGTTGTTTTGGCCTAGAAAAATTACATATAATTAATCCCTCATTTGAATATAAGAATGAGGTATACAATTTTATTTTATTTTTTTTTAAAGATTTTATTTATTTATTTGACAGAGAGAGATCACAAGTAGATAGAGAGGCAGGCAGAGAGAGAGAGAGAGAGGGAAGCAGGCTCCCCACTGAGCAGAGAGCCCAATGCGGGACTCTATCCCAGGACCCCGAGATCATGACCTGAGCCGAAGGCAGCGGCTTAACCCACTGAGCCACCCAGGCGCCCGAGGTATACAATTTTAAAAAATTGTTTCTTCTCACTTGATAACACTGAATCAATATTGGGAAGGTGTCAAATTAATGGCCTGCCCACGGCACCCACACACTGTGGTCCCTTTCTGCTTGCACGGGTGCATAGGTAGCTGCAAAGATTCCTTCAAATCAAACTGGACTGATAACAACTTTGTCAAAATGCTATAGAACGAACTGCACCAGAGAGCAGAGGAACCAACTCTGACCCACACAGAGAACAGAGTCATGAAAGTCTGGGCACACTTGTGTCTCCTCTAAGTGAGAGGACACTGGTCAGTTTTTGAACCACGTCACTTTCAGAATAAACACAAGTGTGATATCTAAACACATCTCAAAACAAAATTAAATCCTTACTGACGTTCCTTTATAAATGCCAAAGGGGAATTCGTTTCATCTCTTAGAATTTGAGGCTAAGCACACCACACATCAATGCCTTCTCCCAAACTCCTCAAAACCCATTACTTCCCACCCCTGACTGCTATTTTCTTCCCTCCTCTTCCAGTTTCTGAAATATTTTCTTCTAGAATACATTTATCTTCTTTCTATTGTAGATCCATCTAGACTTTCTGTACTTCTTTTGACTTCTCTAACATCCAAGGTTAATCAACAAGATAGAGTTCTGTTGCATATTTGATCCAATAATTGATACTACCTGGATAAATCTAGAGAATAGTTCTCTAGCTTATTTATAAAGATGTCATGAAAGATGTTAGATGGGGTGCCTAAGTGGCACAGATGGTTAGGCCTCTGCTTTCGGCTCAGGTCATAATCCCAGGGTCCTGGGATCAAGTCCCACATTGCACTCCTTGCTCAGCGAGGAACCTGCTTCTCCCTCTCCCTCTGCTGCTCCCCCAGCTTATGCTCTCTCTCTCTGTCAAATAAATACATAAAATCTTAAAAAAGAAAAAAATGAAAGCTGTTAGATGCCTTGCTAAAATTCAGCTAAAATTCGGAACTTGGAAAATCAAGCTGGGGGATTCTCACTGCAAAGAGGAAAGACTTGGAAGTTATGAGAAAATTGAAACAAGGACTAAACCCAGAATTTCAAAAATTTGTTTAAAAGGGTGCCAAGGGACGCCTGGGTGGCTCAGTTGGTTAAGCAGCTGCCTTCGGCTCGGGTCATGATCCCGGCATCCTGGGATCGAGTCCCACATCGGGCTCCTTGCTTGGCGGGGAGCCTGCTTCTCCCTCTGCCTCTGCCTGCCATTCTGTCTGCCTGTGCTCGCTCTCTCTCCCTCTCTCTCTCTCTGACAAATAAATAAATAAAATCTTTTAAAAAAATAAATAAATAAATAAAAGGGTGCCAAAAGGAGAAGAGAAACCAAGGGGAGAGAATAATCAAAGAGGTGATGGAAGAAAGACGGCAATCTTCTGATCATGAAAGCTCCAACAAGTGCTGAACGGGAGGATTCTTTTTTTATTGTTTTTATATTTAAAATTTTTTTATTTTTTAAGTTATGTCTCCCACCCAACATGGGACTCAAACTCATGACCCCAAGAACAAGAGTTCTATGCTCTACCAACCGAGTCAGCCAGGTACCCCGATAATTTTTTAAAGATTTATTTATTTGAGAAAGAGAGAGAGAGCGCACACACAAGTGAGGGGAGGGGCAGAATAAGAGAACCCTCGCACTGAGCTGGATGTGGGGCTCGGTCTCACAATCCTGAGATCATGACCTGAGCCAAAACCAAGAATCAGATACTTAACTGATAGAGACACCCAGGCGCCCCCCAATTTTTTTTTTTTTTTAAGTCACACCTAGACACATTCTGGTAAAAATTCAGAACTCTGAGGAGAAAATCCTATAAGCCTCTAAACAGAAAAAAGTCACCTACAAAAGCACAAGTAAAGGGGTGCCTGGGTGGCTCAGTCGGTTAAGTATCTGCCTTCGGCTCAGGCGATGATCCCGGGGTCCTGAGATCCAGTCCTGCATCGGGCTCCCTGCTCATTAGGGAGCCTGCGTCTGCCTCTTCCTCTGCTATTCTCCCTGCTTATGCTTTCTCTTGCTCTCTCTCCCGCCCTCTGTCAAATTAACAAACAAAATCTTAAAAAAAAAAATAAAAGTACAAATAAAATCAGACTTGTATCATCAATGCTGAAGACAGATGGCAATATTTTAAGAAAATAGTTTTGGACAGTGAACAGATTAATTATGGGGCACCTGGGTGGCTCAGTGGATTAGAGCCTCTGCCTTCAGCTCAGGTCATGATCCCAGGGTCCTGGGATCGAGCCCCGAGTCGGGCTCTCTGCTCGGCAGGGAGCCTGCTTCCTCCTCTCTCTCTCTGCCTGCCTCTCTGCCTACTTGTGATCTCTGTCTGTCAAATAAATAAATAAAATCTTAAAAAAAAAAGAAAAGATTAATTATGAGAGCAAAATACAAAGACTTTTGCATGTGTAAGCCCATACATCACCTATGGAAAAAAATTAGTTATGGGCATAATCTAGCATGATAAAAAGGAAAGCAAAAAGGAGACTCACATGGGACTCCATGGGTAGATGAGGAATAAAAGGGTAGATGAGGAATAAAAGCTGAAGGAAGAGAGGTAGCTTAAAAAACATTTTTTAAATTAATCCATTTGACTGTTTGATTTAGAAGAGTCTCAAGTAGTAGATGTTTAATGATACTCATCTATTTTCTTTGTGATGGGTTGAATCAAATGATAAATTCTACAGTGAATGATATTTATATAACCATAACAAAGTAAACGTTTTTTGGTTTTCCATGTATGGAGTCGTTGAAAAGAATGAAGACATAATTACACTTACGGAATAAAATATAAATGTTATAAACCTTTACTCTGTAAAAATAATAGCTCCAAAAATTTAAGATGGGGAGAAAAAGAATGGCTTTTAGCCCTAAAAGCAATATTCTAATCTCTTTGTACCTCATGGCAGAGAGCAAATAAAGGCTGTTTAGAGATAATAAATCAAGAATAAAATACATGTGCACCTTATTAAAACTATTATGGCAAACAGTAGAAGAATTAACACAAGAATGGTTACTATAGGGATGCCTGTCTTCAGCTCAGGTCATGACCCCAGAGTCCTGGGATCAAGTCCTGCATCGGGCCTCCTTGCTCAGCGGGGAGCCTATATCTCTCTCTGCCTGCTGCGCTTACTCTTCTCTCTCTGTCTCTGACAAATAAATAAATAAAATCTTTAAAAAAAAAAAAAAAAGACTGGTTACACTGGGGCTGTTTCTGGGAAGTGGTAGCATGGAGGGCTGGGAGGAATACTTTCCTTCTTGCATTTTATTACTTCTGAGTTGTAAAATTCTGCATGATTCTTCTTTTAACATCTTTTCTGTGCTCTCTTTACATATATATTTTTGGATTCAAAGACCTTACCCCTTCGGGCCATGACGAGCCACTGAATGTTCTTTTTTTTTTTTTTTTCCCTCTCTCTCTCTCTCTCTCTTTTTTTTAGGTAGGCTCCATATCCAATGTGGAGAGCCCAACGCAGGTTTGAACTCACAACCCAGAGACCAAAACCTGAGCTGAGATCAAGAATCTGACTCAGCTTAAGCAACTGAGCTGCGCAGGTGCCCAGCTACTGAATAGTCTCAAGCAGAAAGTCACATGTGAATCTTGAAATGTTACTTGTTTGCAGAGGGTCCTGTCTGGACAGCCTGGCAGGAGGGAACTGAGTCAGGAGGTGAGTCACTCCATCTTCGAGCGCCTGGAATGCTCATGTCCTTATCTCCCCCTTGGTACTTACCTCACGCTGCCTAGAAATAAGGAGGATCTTGAATGATTAAACAAACAAACAAACAAACAAACAAACAAGCAAATACTACTACTCAGCCATTCTTCAGCACCAGCATTACAAGGTTTCACTGTCAAATCTTTGTTCTCTTTCCCTCTCTCTTCCTCTCCACTTCAGACCTAGGCTTTCTTTGAAGACTCATGTGAGTTCTGATTCCTGCATGAAGCCTTTTCCAACTTGCCCTCTCCTTCAGAGAGTGTTACAAAGGCAGATGAATCTCTAGTTAGCATTCAGAAAATAAAAACACAAGGTAGATTTGCTTCTGTGCCAATTATAAAGGAGTTTGATAAAGATACCTGACATTTAGAGAGCAAAGACTGACCTCTGTAACACCTCTCATAGCATAATGAACAACTGAATCTCCTTCACTTACCACAGTGGATGGGTTGGGCCAAATACATATGGAAGTAGTCCTCTTTTTTCTTTTTAAGATTTCATTTATTTATTTGACATGGGGAGCGGGGGAGATCACAAGTAGGGAGAGAGGCGGAGTAGGGGGTGGTGAAGCAGGCTCCCCACTGAGCAGAGAGCCCAATGCGGGGGCTTGATCCGAGGACTCTGAGGCCATGACCTGAGCCGAAGGCACAGGCTTAACCCACTGAGCCACCCAGGTACCCCACAGAAGTAGCCTTTAAAGATACATGACTTTACTCAAGGAATTGTTTTCCCAATCTTGTCTCTCACCTGGTATATTGATTCTTGGCTGGAAATATGTTTTATTAAAAACTTGGTATCCTCTTGGCTTTTGACATAACCTTTCGTAATGCCATACATCAAGCGGAGACGCTTTTTAATCTGCACATCTACGATATTTATCAGTAGTGGGATTATTATCTGGAACAACGAAGAGAAAAACAAGTCTGAAAATCTGATGTGGAAAAGCACCCTCCAAGGCAGGCGTTCTCAAAGTGTCATCTTGGGGAGAAGTGGCACTACCCAGAGACTTGTTAGAAATGCAAATTCTCCGCCGCCTCTCCCCCCACCCAGACCTGCTGAACTGGAAATTCTGGGGGCGAGGCTCAGAAATCAGCATCTTAAGAAGTCCTCCAGGTGATTCTCTGCGCACTCAAGTTTGAGAGCCATTCTTTAAAGAAATGAAAGGTCAATGACTCAGTAACCGTCTCTGTAGATTTAAGGAGGAGTCCCCACCGCTGCCTTTATCCCCCATTCTCCACACCCCCCTATTTCAGGAGACTAGAGGGGTGGTCGGTCCCCTAACCTGCATGATAGTCACTGACCAAATCAATCATCCCTCTGCCCCTCAGTTTCTTGACTTGCAGGATAAGGAAAATAGGATATTTAAAGATTTTATTTATTAGTCAGAGAGAGAGAGCGAGCACAGGCAGACACAATGGCAGGCAGAGTCAGAGGGCGAAGCAGGCTCCCGGCCGAGCAAGGAGCCCAATGTGGGACTCGATCCCAGGTCGCCAGGATCATGACCTGAGCCGAAGGCAGCCGCTTAACTAACTGAGCCACCCAGGCGTCCCAGGAAAATGGGATATTAAAGATACTTCTTAGCTCTAAATTTCTCAAATCATAAGCTGAGGCAAGAGAGTGTAGTGACTGAAGAGAAGGGAGTATTAAATCAAATTTTCTGAGGTTCAAGTACTAGCTCTCCTATTCACCAGCTCTATGACCTTGAGGAAGTTACTTGTGACCTAAGGACTCTGTCTCCTCATCTGTACGACGGCGGTAATAATATTTAAGTACTCAAAGGCCAACGGAGCAGCCCCTCACAACGGATACAGTCAATCACAGAGAGAATCAGGTCAGAATGCAAGGCAGATGGTGAGGAAACAGGTCACAGAAGAGGGAGGTGAGAAGAGCGAAATAACGTCATAGCAAAGGAATTACAAGAGCAGAGAAAGAAGAGATTTTTAGCTGCTATTACAGTTGTGTCACTTTGGTCAGAGGGAGAGATAGTAAAGGGGATTTTTACAAAGTGTTATTCCGTGATGCACTGAATCCCCCTGAGCTGTTCCTAAGAGGATCTAAAGTAAAAATCTCCAATATTCTTCCAAGCTCTCCAATACAGATTTCATTCGAAAGTCACACTGTGCTGAGACTGGCTATTAGAGCGCCTCATTTGACATAGTGGGAACACCTGGTTCACAGGGCTATTGCAATAATTTCATTAAATAATGTATGTCAAGGGCTCTGCACAGTCCTGGAACATAGTAAGTGCTCAATAGAAAAAGTTAATCCTGATTATATTAATTCCTCACGCATATTTCATGGAGATTTGTCAAAGTGTGCTGGACAGAAGTAGCAACTGGTTCACACTCTTAACTTCCCTCAGAGAGATACTTCACAAAGTATTACTTCTACAATAATTATTTTACCTTCATCTGCATTCAATCTCTATATAAAAAATGATTACCAGGGACGCCTGGGTGGCTCAGTTGGTTAAGCAGCTGCCTTCGGCTCGGGTCATGATCCCAGCGTCCTGGGATCGAGTCCCACATCGGGCTCCTTGCTCGTCAGGGAGCCTGCTTCTCCCTCTACCTCTGCCTGCCATTCTGTCTGCCTGTGCTCGCTCTCTCTCCCTCTCTCTCTCTCTGACAAATAAATAAATAAATAAAATCTTTAAAAAAAAAAAAATGATTACCAAAGAAGCTTCTCCCTTCCATTTTAAGACAGCCTCATACTACATATCCTGATTTCTAGCATACTTTGTGTTATGGAAGGGTTATGCCTTATGTAGACCCTCGGCTGTAAGCTCAAAAAAGCAAAAATCACTAATAATAAAAATTACCCCTTACAACAACATTTTTATGTATGAAACAAAACAACATTTTATGTATAGTAACACTTTCGAACACCAAAGCTTGGTAACACTGATACAGAATCAAGGAAGGAACTGATAATAAAGTCTACAAGTGCAAGTCTGAGCATTCAAACAAGTCTGCCTGCCTTTAAGAGGACTATGAAATCTCATGGAGAAAGATAATAGAGGATTCTTTGGTCACCAGGGTTGTCAGCAGTTTTTTTTTTGTTGTTTTTTTTTTAACATTAATCCTGGGGCACCTGGGTGGCTCAGTGGGTTAAAGCCTCTGCCTTCTGCTCAGGTCATGTTCCCAGGGTCCTGGGATCCAGCCCCACATCTGGCTCTCTGCTCAGCCGGGAGCCTGCTTCCCTTCCTCTCTCTGCCTACTTGTGATCTGTCAAATAAATAAATAAAATCTTAAAAAAAAATTAATCCTTCATAACGTCAACTGATACCAATAAACTTGTTTAACATAGGAATTAAACAACTCACACACAAAAAATAGAGTGGCAAATGAAACCACCTAAAGCTCCCAAGTTAAAAGCTTATGTAAGGCAACTTCATTGGAAGAAAGCCTCGCCCCATGCGCCACTCATCCCCACCCTAACAGGTCAGGTCGCTGGTGCCTGGGGTCAGCTTCGGGTGGAGTCCCTTCCTCCTCCCCAATTGTCTAGTGTTCCCGGGGCCTCCCCCCTCCCACCACCCCACCCCACTCCACTCCACCCCACCCCCCCCCCACCCCGTGCTGTGGCCGTGCCCCGGGGGTAGGGGGTGCAGAATGGTGCTCCCGGTTCAACCTCCGACTCCGGGTTTGCATGGAAGAATCCTCTTTCCACGATGCCACTGGGCAACGTGGCGTGGGGGAAAGGAGGACGGTGGAGGAGTCCCCGCCCGAGACTCTTGGTCGGCCTCCCTACCCCAGGCGTCACTCAGTGATCATGGGTAGAGAGAACTGTTTCCAAAAAAAAAAGCTGACTGAAAATCTGAAAATCTACCTTCAGAATCAAAACTGTGGAAAGAAGGAATAGTAGCTGTTACAGAGACTGAAGGCCACAGCAGAATTAAGTTCCGTAGGCAGTATGCAATATAAAAGTGGCCTGTAGAGAAAATATTTTCATGCTTCTGCACTGTTAGGCCCTTCTGAGCAAATTTTACTAAAACCCAGGGAGCTTGTTTCTGAGTCACCGTGCTTCAAGTGGCACCAACATTTTCGTTCTTTCACTCGACAAGTATTTGATTAAGAACTTACTATATGCTAGGCGCCATTCTAGAGTTCTCGGTTACCTCAGTGACCAAACCAAAGATCGCTGCCTCATGGAGAGTACGTGCCACAACAGTACAAAGGTAGTAAGTGCTATGAGGAAAAACTAAACCTTAAGCAGGTGGAGGGGGGTCAGGAAGCTGGTATGTGCCAGGGAGCAGGTTGTCATTTCACACAGGGTGATCAGGGAAGGTATTCTCTCTGAGAAGCTGAGAGGGTAAACCAGGCAGACGCCTATAGAGACAGCATTCCAGAAAAGACAGCTCCTTCTCTTGTTTCCTTCGAAATAATGAGGTTTCTTAACACATTTAACAAACAGTGTGGGGAAAACAACAACAACAACATTTGGAAGCGTGATGTTTTACCTTGACGAAAGGAATAAACCTAATTATTCTGAAATATCCCAGTATTACTGTAATCTGAATAAGAACGAAGTTGTCTGGTCTCAGTTTGACAAAGTATAAACAAAAGAGGTCAACGATTCCAAGAAGCATGATAAGAAAGTCCAAAGTATTCCAATATTGATCAAAATACTTCCTTTTCAAAATGATTATCTATTTAGAAGACAAACAGAACGTATGTTATTTCTTTTTTTTTTTTTTAAGATTTTATTTAATTATTTGTCAGAGAGAGAGAGGGAGAGAGAGCAAGCACAGGCAGACAGAATGGCAGGCAGAGGCAGAGGGAGAAGCAGGCTCCCTGCTGAGCAAGGAGCCCGATGTGGGACTCGATCCCAGGACTCTGGGATCATGACCTGAGCCGAAGGCAGCTGCTTAACCAACTGAGCCACCCAGGCGTCCCAGAACGTATGTTATTTCATAGCACCTATACAACGATGGGGGAGGGGATGTGTCTTCAAAATTAACACTTCAATCCTCAACTACAAATGAGTTGTACTCCAAAAGTTGAGTTTTAAGTTATTCATTTGGAATTAAAAAAAAATTTTTTTTAATCTCCAACATCAAAATCATAATTTGATTCAAAATAATTCATTTATAATCTTGTATTTATTATTATTTATTAAAATAATTCATTTATAACCTATAAATGAAGTTGAAATTCTGGAAACAAGCAATTAAAAATAGCAATACACAGAGTCATTGCAACACTATTAATAATGAAATATGAAAACAGTAATGTTGACAAATCATCTTCAAACCATTTATCCTAAAAAGCAGTTCTCATCTTATGACAAGGACCTAGCAAACCAGTTTGGATTTATTCACTTACTTGCTTTTTGCACCATTACAGAAAGTATCTGAGAGAAATAACCCTTTGTATTTTCCACCTGGATTCCCATTTGTCTTCATGTCTTTGGGATTCTCTCCACTTTTATGATACTTATTTTACCTGATACCCAAGACCATGACTATTATACCGATTTCATTATTAAACTCAGAAACTTCAAAGAAGATTACTAAAATTCCAGGATCCTATCAACTATTATATCAAATGGCTTCTAGTACCAAATTATTTCAGTATGACACAGATAGATTCAAAGATATCTGAATTGTTCTTTTCACTGGATACACCTTATTTTAAACAGTACCTTCAGTGCTGATCGAAATATGTATAAAAATACATAATAGTAGTTTACTGATAAAAGTGCTGACACATTTAACTCTCTTGCCATTGGCCACAGATGTATTATCATAGGATAAATGTACATTACTGTTATAACATGTCCCGCATATTCAAATTCTTCTGAAAATACTGTGTGATGTACAAAAAGCAGAAATGTATTATTCCTGGGGAAAAAAGAGATCAATAAAATGTTAGATCACTTTAAAAATATAACAACTGAAAAAAATATATAACAACTGAGATCTGAAGTTCAACATTTGCTTTAACAAATCATTAACATTAATTTTTTTTAAAGATTTTATTTATTTATTTGACAGAGAGAGATCACAAGTAGGCAGAACAGCAGGCAGAGAGAGAGAGAGGAGGAAGCAGGCTCCTTGCCAAGCAGAGAGCCCGATGTGGGGCTGGATCCCAGGACCCTGAGATCATGACCTGAGCCGAAAGCGGAGGCTTAACCCACTGAGCCACCCAGGTGCCCTCACTAACATTAATTTGAAGAGGAATATAAAAATATAAAATAAATAAGCAGAAACCTAAAGCATACTTTCTGTATATAATAATCATCAAAGAGAAAGATAAAAATATAGCTCTTATTAATTAATCAGAATGGGGAGCATTTTTTTAAATCAAGGCTAATAGCACAGAAGAAACAAGGCAAAGATTCATTCATCAAAAGCAAGAAACAAATAAATACAGAGAAAAACATCAGCATCACTTAAAAGTAAGAATAGGAAAAAATACTCTATTCAGTAATTACCATGATATATTTAAAAAAAAAAGATTTTATTTATTTATTTGACAGAAAGAGAGATCACAAGTAGGCAAAGAGGCAGGCAGAGTGAGAGGGGGAAGCAGGCTCTCTGCTCAGCGGAGAGCCCGATGCAGGGCTCGATCCCAGGACCCTGAGATCATGACCTGAGCCAAAGGCAGAGGCTTAACCCACTGAGCCACCCAGGTGCCCCTGTATTTTTTTTTTTTTTAATTTTCCAATCCATCCTAAGTAGAGCCTAACAAAAAGTGGTTATCTACATATATGTCAAGACCCTAGGGTTTTAATTCCTTATATTTCTCTTTAAACTTAATACATGGGGAAAAGTTAAGAAACTATCAGGATTTGTTATGAAAGGTATGTCAGCGCCCACTTAAAATTTAGTAGCATGAATTTTTCTCGTATTTCTCATTTTTATATCTTTTGTTAATAGAAAAACTTTGTCTTCCTGTTTTTTAAAGTATATAAGTTCACAACTCATAATAAGTTAAGTAAAACTTCACAAGTTAAGTAAATCCGTATCTTGCAATAATTTGGAAAATTGATTACAGGTATTATTAAGGCTCTGTTGTGTTTTTGCTAGTTATGGATATCAACAGAGCTGCCCCATGGCACAGATGAAATGGAGAGGAAAATATAGGCCATGAGTTTGATACTTCTTTCCCCTCCCTGCTCAATGTTATACCCAGAAGCACATGAAAGCATTCTAGTTTGTACTATGACCTTAAGATATGGCAATTACCACTTAAAAGAGTCCAAACATGACCAGTCTTTGCTTCTCCTTTCCTACTCACTCCCTAACAGAGGTATCAACAAAAGTCGCTCAAACAACCCAACAAAGAGAGAGATGCAAGTGCTCTGCTCCTTCCCTCACCACTTGATCAATAAGAGCTGACCATAATATTAATTAATTTTTTTAATAAGGAAACTTAATGTAATCAATGCTGACAGGGTAGAAGCGGTGATATTTTTAGGTATATTGCTATTAAAGGTTTATAGTACTTACCCATATAGAAAAAGAGGTGCCTTATCTTTATGATATTCCAAGACAGTTAACATGTTTTTAAACTTCATAAGCCAGCTTCTAGCTCTTACATAAGTTGAAACATCATAAATACTCATGAATCTAACAGAGAAAAATATACATATATGTTAAAATAAAAATCAAGTGCTATACTTCTGGGTAATATAAAAAGGGAACTCCCTTTTATATTAAAATATATATTAAAAATGCTCTGTCCTGAACCTCTGTATCGATCTATCGACCCACCCATGGTCATGTACAGGAAACCCCTGTTGCCTGTCCCTGGAACCATTCTTGACTTGACATAGAACATAATTAAAGTTTCTCCAGACCAGTTCTTTGGGGTTCAGAATCAAGCTCCCCTTTGTCATGCCTTCCCTAGCTCCAGCCTCTCCAAGGCCCTGAAGGCCCTACCCTTCCCAAACTTTAGGAACTGATGTTAGATCTCCCAGAGAGATTATCAGACTGCTGAAATGTTGACTACCACCTGGCAGGACTTCCTGTCATTGTTGCCCCCACAAACTTTGTCTTGGATCACCCATTAGCAAATGCTTGCCAGGACTATGACCGGATACAGACATATCTCCAAGACATTTGAACTTTTCCCATCAAATTTAATTGTATCTCCCAGGTCCATCAGAAGGATCAGTTCCTTCAAGCCTGGCTGCACCTGACTAATGGCAGGTTCCAGGTTTCCCTACCTACCCTATCCAGTAACTTACTAAATATGATATAAAGAAAAGATAAATACAACAGCGTATGAAATTACATAGGTTGTCTTTCATGGCTCCCCTAGTCTCTTATCTAATTACACTGTAGTCAGATCTTCCACCAGAATCTCCTAATGACACCAAAGTTATGGACCTTCCGGGGAAAAATGTAAATAAGTCAAAATAAGTAGATGGATGGATGGATGGATGGATGGAATGATGGAGATAGGTGAAATAAATAGATTGATCAATCTGGATATTTAACTCTCAGTTTGATTTTTTTTCTACCATATACCCATTTGATTCTGGAAATAACAACTTAAGAAGTATTATACTTACTTTCCTTGGATGGGGCAATAGCTTTTGCTTGCACCAATTAATATGCGGGCCGCCTCTACACTGAGGATTCCATCATAACACTGTTTTTCAAAGCTGCTCTAAACACACAATTTTAAAAAAACCATTAAAAAGGACCCAAAAAATACATAACATAATATATTCTGCTTTACCTTTACATAGGCCTCATTATGATTATTGAATTCATTGTAGGAAAATATACTTTTACCAGAAAAATCTTGTAGCAACAAACCCCCCCCAAATTCATTCAATTTAAATATTTACTGAATATTCGTTTTTTTGCAAAGTCCTATCCTGGATGCAATAAAAGATACCAAGTTTCCTAGCTTCAGAAACTCAAAATCTGTACAAGTCAAAGAGTTTTCTTCAGTAATATAAATAGCATCATAGCATCATCTTTCTGCAGCAGGATGGTGCAAAGTATTAATTCAAAGGTTAACTAATCATCTCACCCTCTTAAAAAACTACCAAGAGAGAAAAGTAAATTGTGTTCTTTTGCTTCCTTTTTGCTAGGTTTATTGTGATATAGTTGACATATAACATTGTGTAAGTTTAAGGTGTACAGTGTGATGATTTGTACACTTGTATATATTGCAGAATGGTTACATGACAAGATTAGTTAACACATCCATTACCTCACATAATTACAACTTTTTTGTGTGTGATTCTGTGTGATTTAAGATCCACTCTCTTAGCAACAATCAAGTATGTAATATAGAATTGTTATAGTCACCGTGCTGTATATTAGAGCCCCAGAACTTACTCATCTTATAACTTATAACAAAGTTTGTACACTTTGATTAATATCTCCTCTACTCCCCTACCTCCCAACCCCTGGAAACCACCATTTCGCTCTGTTTCTGTAAGTTTGGCTTTTTTTTTTTTTTTTTTTTTAAGATTCCACACATACATGAAATCATACAGTATTTATCTTTCTCTGTCTGACTTATGTTACCTAGCATAAGGTCCTCAAATCACAGATGGCTGTTCTGTGGTTGAATAATTCCATTAGATAGGTAGATGATAGATAGATAGATAGATAGATAGATAGATTGATAGATAGATAATAGATAGTTATAGATAGATAGATAGATAACATTTTCTTTGTTCATCTATCAGGGGGGACACTTAGGTTTTTTCCATGTCTTTGCTATTGTGAATAATGCTGAAAGAAACACAGGAGCACATGATCTCTTTGAGATCCTATTATCATTTCCTTCTGACATATACCAAGAGGTGGGGTTGCTAGAAGATATGATAGTTCCAGCTTTAATTCTTTGAGGAATGTTTATATCAATTTCTGTAGTGACAGTACCAATTTACATTCCTACCAACAGTGCACAAGAGTTTCCGTTTCTCCACATCCTAGCCAACATGTTATTTCCTGTGTTTGGGGGGAGAGTCAGTCTAACAGATGTGATGTGATATCTCGTTATACTTTTCAAGTTTTTATTTTGGTCACCCGGTAGTCATCACAAGTGCATTCCTTAAACTCCATCACCATTACGTTCATGTTCCCACCCACCTCCCCCCCAGTTTGTTCTCTACAGTTCTGTTCTTGGTTTGTCTCTATCTCTCTCTATTTTCCCTTGGCTTGTTTTGTTTCTTAAATTCCACATATGAGTGAAATTATATGGTATTTGTCTCTCTCTGACTCACTTGCTTCACTGGCATTATCCTCTCCAGCTCCATCCACATCATTGCAACGTTGTACCAATTCTTTAACCGTTCACCAATTGATGGACACTTGGGCTGCTTCCATATCTTAGTTATTATAAATAATACTGCTATAAACATGGGAGTGCATGTATCCCTTTAAATTAGGGGTTTTGTATTCTTTGGGTAAATACCCAGTAGTGTGTTTCCTGGATTAGAGGATGGTTTTATTTTTAACTTTTGAGGAACCTCCATACTGTTTTCCACAATGGTCACACCAGTTTGCATGCCCACCAACAGTGTAAGAGGGTTCCCCTTTCTCCACATCCTGACCAACACCTGTTATTTCCCGTGTTGTTGATTTTAGCCATTCTGACAGGTGTGAGGGATATTTCTCTGTTGATTTGCATTTCCCTGATGATCAGTGATGATGAACATCTTTTCATGTGTCCGTTTGCCAACTGTATGTCTTGTTTGGATAGATGTCTGTCTTCTGCCCATTTAAAAAAAAAAGATTTTATATATTTATTTGACAGAGAGAGACGCAGAGAGAGGGAACACAGCAGGGGTAGTGGGAGAGGAAGAAGCAGGCTTCCCGCCAAGCAGGAAGCCTGACATGGGCCTCGAACCCAGGACCCTGGGATCATGACCTGAAACAAAAGCAGATGCTTAACGACTGAACCACCCAGGAGCCCTTCTGCCTATTTTTTAATTGGATTATTTGTTTTTTGGGGTGTTGAGTTTTATAAATTCTTTATATTGGGGCGCCTGGGTGGCTCAGTGGGTTAATCCTCTGCCTTTGGCTCAGGTCATGATCTCAGGGTCCTGGGATCAAGCCCTCGATTGGGCTCTCTGCTCAGTGGGGAACCTTTTTTCCCCCACCCCTGTGTGCTGCTCTGCCTACTTGTGATCTCTGTCAAATAAATAAATAAAATCTTAAAAAAAAATAAGTTCTTTATATATCTTGGATATTAACCCTTTATCAGATATGTCATTTGCAATATATCTTCTTCCATTCTGTAGGTTATCATTATAGTTTTGATTAGCATTTCCCTGATGATTAGTTGAATACCTTTACATGTGGTTGGCCACATGTCTTCTTTGGAAAAATGTCTATTCAAGTTCTCTGCCTATTTTTAATCAGATTATTTGCGGGTTTTTTTTTTCTGTTGACTTTTATGAGTTTCTTACATTTTTTGGATATTAACCTCTTACCTGACATATGGTTTGCAAATAATTTCTCCCATGCTATAGGTTGCCTTATCATTTTGTTGACTATATTACTGTCCAGAAGCTTTTTTAGTTGCAGTTGCTTCTGTTCCTTGTGTCTTGGGAAATATATATAAAAATTGGTTGTCAAGACCAATGTCAAGGACCCTTTTCTTTATGTTTTCTTCTAAGAGTTTTATGGTTTCAGTCTTATATCTAAATCTTTAATCCATTTTGAGTTTATTTTGTAAGTGGTGTAAGAGAGAGTTTCAATTTTTTTCTTTTGGATGTGAATACCTAGTTTTCCCACAATTTATTGAAAACACTAACCTTTCCTCATTGATATTTTTCACTCTCCTATCAAATATTAGTTGACCGCACATGCATGGGTTTATTTTGGGGTCTCAACTCTGTTCTGTTGTTCTGTGTGTCTGTTTTTATGCCAGTACTATACTGTTTTGGTTACTATAGCTTTGTAGTATAATTTGAAATCAGGAAGTGTGATGCCTCTAGCTCTGTTCTTTCTCAAAATTGTTTTGGCTCTTCAGGTTCTTTTGTGATTTCATACACATTTTTGGATTGTTTATTCTATTTTCGTGAAAAGGGCCATTGACATTTTGATAGAGATTGCATTGAATCTATAATGGCTTTAGATAATATGGACATTTTAATAATAATGTTTCTGATCCATGAACATATCTTTCCACTTATTTGTGTCTTTTTCAGTAACTTTCATCAGTGTCACATAGTTTTCAGCCTATAGATCTTTCACCCCTTCTAAGTATTTTATTGGTTTTGTTGCTATGTATATGGGATTATTTTCTTTAATTCTTTATCACTGAATGCATTGTTAATAGATTTAAGTACAACTGATACAGGTATGTTGATTTTGTATTCTGCAACTTTACTGAATTCGTTAATTAGTTTTAACAGTTTTTTGGTGGACTCCTTAGGGTTTTCTCTTTTTTTAAGATTTTATTCATTTATTTGAGAGAGAGTGAGAGAATGAGAGAGCATGAGTTGGGGGAGGTGCGAAAGGAGAGGGAGAAGCAGACTCCCAGCTGAGTAGGGAGCCCCCTTCTGGGGTCCAAACCCAGGATACTGTGATCCTGGCCTGAGCCAAAGGCAGCCATTTAATCAACTGAGCCACCCAGGCGCCCCCTAGGGTTTTCTATATATAAGACCATGTCATTTGCAAACAGTTTTATTCCTTCCTTTCTATTGCTCTGACTAGAACATTTAGTACTATGTTGAAAAGGAGTGGTAAGAGTGGACATCCTTGTCTTGTTTGTCATCTTGGAAGAAAGCTTTCAACTTTTCACCACCGAGTATAATGTTAGCTGTGGGTTTTTGCATATGGTCTTCATTATATTGAGGTATATTTCTTCTGTACACAATTTGCTGAGAGTTTTTATCATGAAAGGGTGTGGGATTTTTTCTACATCTATTGAGAAAATCGTATTATTTTTATCCTTCATTCTACCAATGTGGTATTTGACTGATTTGTAAGAGTCTCATGCTCTACCGACTGAGTTAGCCAGGAGCCCTTATTTGACTGATTTACAGATATTAAACCACCCTTGCATCCAAGGGATAAATCCCATTTTATCATGGTTCATAATCTTTTTTTTCTTTTTTAAAGATTTTATTTATTTGACAGAGAGAGATCGATCACAAGTAGGCAGAGAGGCAGGCGGGGGGGTGGGATGGAAGCAGGCTCCTTGCTGAGCGGAGAACCTGATGCAGGGGTCCATCCCAGGACCCTGAGATCACGACCTGGGCCGAAAGCAAAGGCGTAACCCACTAACCCACCCAGATGCCCCGGTTCATAATCCTTTTAAAGTGCTGTTGAATTTCATTTGCTAGTATTGTGTTGAGAATTTTTGCATCTATATTTTTCAAGGGTATTGACTTTTATTTATCTTTTCTTGTAGTGTCCTTATTTGAGTTTGGGAGTTCCCTTCTTTGAATATTTTGAAAGACTTTGAGAAGGATCGGCATAAATTTCTTCTTTAAAACATTTGGTGGGGGGGGGTGCCTGGGTGGCTCAGCGATTTAAGTGTCCAACTCTTGATTTTGGCTCAGGTCATGATCTCAGGGTCATGAAATTGAGCCCCATGTCAGGCTCCATCCATGCTCAGCAGGGAATCTGCTTAAGATTTTCTCCCTTTCTGTCTGCCCCCCTGTTTGCTCTCTCTCTCTCTAAAATAAATAA